CTGTAGACTTCAAATAGTCAAGCAACAAGTTAAAGAGTTGTTGACTGAACTTTATTTCTTGCAAATTAATTAATCATATAGATTTTTAGCTCTATTGCCAGGAAGCCAATCTAAAAGTTGTCATGGAAATTTTCCCCCACTGCTGATCTCTACTGCTAATCCACATTCTGGTTCTAGTGTATTTATTATCTATGAAAGGTAACACATGCTTGGAAACAGAATTGACTTTTTAATCTGAGGAGTTGTGGGGAAAAGAGAGAAGTGGCTATGTGAGAAGAGAGAAAGGGGCAATGTTTCAGGGAAGAGCTGCTTAGAGCCTTTATTTAGTTTACAGTCTAAAGTCTCAGCTCAAGTACCACCTTCCTAAGTCCCCCAGTTGCTAGGACACTCCTTTCCAAAACTATTAAATATTCACTTTGGTATATTATGTACATGCTTATATATGTACATATTATCTCTCCAATTAGAATGAAAGCTCCTTGAAAGCAGGGACTTCTGTCTTTGTATGCTCCGCACTTAGCACTGTGCTTGGCACACAATAATTGCTTAATAATTCTTTCAACCAAAGTCTTTGACACTGTTAAATAATTAGTATCAGAAACTGGTGTGAGTTTATTAGCAGAAAGCACATTAAATATGCATTACAATCTACTTCATTGCTGTACCTCTGGGATTATGGAACCGTTCTCTAAGACTTAGAGCTGAAATGTCATCTGTGTGTTGCCGCCACCTTTTGAGTGTGAATTCCTTGAGAACATGAACTGGTTTGCTTCTCTATTTGTATGCCTACTGCTTATCACTGTGCTTTCCACAAAGTAAGTGCTTAATAATTGCTTTTTCGTTTTTTTATTTATTGTTACTCAATTTTTTTAGAATAGTTGGATTCATTAGATGTTAGGAAAAAATGTTTCTAAGAACCTTGATGTATGGATGAAAGAAATATTGTAACAACATCAACAACAATACTGCTAGATGACCTGTGTGTTATAATTCTTATAAGATAAATACACCAAATTCATTTCAATAAGTATTTGTTGAATGTTTACCATGTGCCTAGACCTGTTAGAAACTATAAAGCTACAAAATCCCTATTCTTTAACCTTAAGCAGTTTTGACAGAGATACAAGACTTCTTTGCTCAACCATGCACATATGTATATACATTTGTACTTTTGAATCAAACAAGAAGGAAAAAAAATTAAGCTTGTACTATGCTAAGAGCTAGGAATACAAATAGGAAAAGGGAAATAGTCTTGAGTCACAAGAAGCTCACACTTTATTTTGACGAAAGAACACACAAAAGCTAAACTGCAGTGAAGACTGAAAGGTCCTAAGTGTCGACATCACCAAAGCAGTTACATAAATTAGATGGATGACAATATTTGAGGATTGTAGCGTGTAGAGCCTGGGCAGATGGTGCTGGTAGTCCTCCATTTCAAGAGAAGGAATAGGTTTGACTCCCACCTCATTTGAGCCCTACGAACAATCAAGAAGCCCAGGCGAAGGCAGAAGGCAAGAGAGGAGAGTGCTCTTGTAATACGTACATGGATTGGTACCTATATGTAGTAGGCAGGCTTTGTTATAACTAACAATAATGAAAACTTAACATTTGTACAGTGCCTAAACGGTTTCTAGTTACCTTCACAGATCCCCTCCTGATTAAATCAGAATACTGCTCTCATTTCAAGGACAACAATGACAATGTTTTGTTGGCTCTGCACTGCTGCTGCTGGGTTCCCCCTCAGGGACGTTTAATTTACTGTGGGAGTACAGGCACTGGTTCTGGGGGAAAGGCAAAGTTCAGTTTTGAAAATCATATTTCCCTCTTTTAGGAAGAGATATCTCAAACCTTGGTTTTGAATTATTTGTACTACTATCCAGGATATCCGTGATAACATACCAATTTGATAAGAGATGTCAACAAAGGCAAGAACAAAGAAAGACCTGTTGTTTTGACATGAGTGGGAACAAGTTTGAGAAGACTCTTGCTAATGGCCTCTTCCTTTCAAGATAACAGAGACATTTTGTCACTGAGTTCAGGTACTGATGTTAAGCTAGCTTGTAGAGGCAATCTAATTCTCCTCTAAGTATTATGCCTGTGTTGGGGTGCCCCACTCCACCCCACCTGCCACACCCCCCCAATGGATACTAGATGAATAGTGATGCCTACTTAGGGCAGCTTAGGTTAAGTAGTAAGCCAAGTCAAGAAGCATTTAGTAAACATCTAATCGATGCCAGGCTTTGTTACAAGCTGGGGAATATTAAAAAAAGCAAAAAACAAAAAAAAACAAAAAGAAAACACCAGTCCCTGTTCTCAAGAAGCTCACAGTCTAACAGGAGAGACCAGATACAAACAACTAACTATAAACAAGATATGTTCAGTTATGTCAGACTCTGTGACCCCATTTGAGGTTTTCTTGGCACTAGAGTGGTTTGCCATTTCCTTCTCCAACTCATTTTACAGGTGAAGAAGCTGAGGTAGACAGAGTTAAGTGACTTGCCCAAGGTCACACAACTAGTGTCTTCGGGTGGATTTGAAACCACAAAAATGAGTCTTCTGGACTGTAGGTCAAGCACTTTATCTACTGCACCACAGACAAGATAAAGAAGGGATAAACTGGAGATAATTTAGAGTGAAGGCACTATTATTAAAGGCTTATGGTGAGCAAGAATAATTGAGGGAAGCTGAGATATTAAGATCAAAATCTATTACCAATGTTTCAAATATTAAAAAGCTAAGGCTAAGTGGGGCAGGATGAACCTTGACCCATGGACTATCTTGGGGGTAGAAAAAAATCTGAGACTCTGCTTTCCATAGAAGAAGAAATTAATCGTGGGGGAGATGAAAATCCTCAACTTCCACTTTCTAGTAATATACTTAATATTTTAAATTAGAGTAAAGATTAAAAGCAAAAAAAAAGTTTTCTGAGTATACTTTTTCATTTAATCATGATAAACTCCACTCATTTATAAATATTTTTATGTTATTTCTCTCACATGATTTGTCTCTTTCCCTTTCCCTGTTCTCTCATTTTCTGAGTGTGCACAACTCTAGGCAAGAAAATTTCCTAAACCAAAGGAAATCAGCTACTCTACTACAACGTAATAGACTGAAGAGAGTTTCTGGGGGTGGTGTGGTGGATAGTACCCTTCTTCCCCCCATTACCTTCTATCATTCAATCAAACAACACACAGTTATTCTGTCTGGTCTCATGGGAATCTGCTCTCAGACAAAACACAAGTAGCTGCGTTTTTGGCTAGGGTTTCCCCTAGTCTTGATGTGTTTTATATCCGTATTTTGTAATCTTCCCATTTTCTAAAGAGGGACAGACCTCTTTTTCTTCAACATTTTAAAGCCAAACTAAACAGAACCTGCTTTAAACAAACCTGTAGTTAGAGTGGTTTCCTCATGAAAGCTAAGGAGTCTTCCACTTAGGCTTAAAACAAACGACAGCAAAAACCCACAATTATTTGATTCAACAAAATATTGGCCAACTCACAAACTTTCCCTCAATTCTTCCCAGACTTAGAATTGTAAGTATAATTGCAGCAGAGAACATACAGTGTTATATGGCTCATTTTGGTTTCTATATTTAAATCCTCTCTTCTTCATTGCCATTTTTTTTGGGGGGGGGGAAGATGAGGCTTCATCTTGGAAGGGTTGCTATCTGCCATCAGGTCCTGAGAAACTAAGGTCATTGGTGCAGTAACATACACTATCTCCTAAATGCAAACACAAAAGTCAAAATCCTTGTGTTCACATCTAAACACACACACACAAACACACACACACACACACACACACACACACACACCTGTATCTATCTAGCCTTGGTCAGAGAAGACAGCACCCCAAAGCCATTTATGACAATTCAAACAATTCCCTTAATATAACCTGGTATTTTGTTTAATTCTTTGCATATTTATTGATACTTATTTGTATATAGAGAATTAGCTGTCTTTTCTCTCTTTATACTGTAATCCTCATTGAAGGTCAGGATTATATTACTAATAGACTACAAAACATTAACCTCATTAGTCCTCAAGGATAAATAAATTATATTGACCACAACAGCTAAGATTTTTTTTAAAAAAGTTAAAAATGTAAAAAATATGCTGAGTTGAAAGTTAACAGTTTCTAGGACAAAGTAACTTTTATAAGGACAAATGTATACATCTATATGGGAGAGATGGGGCAGTATCAGTCTTTTACCACCTACTCACTTAACTTAGGAGCTAGATAGTTTTTTCTTAAAAAAAAAGTAATCACATTGGAATCTGTGGATTAAAAAGGCAAAAACTATTATCACAACTGTTTTTATGGATAATAATTGTAGTGTAATGAATATATTAATAATGAATTCAATATCTTGAGAAAAAAATCTGTCTCAGAATAAAAAAAACAAACCACATGTTTGTGTATGTCTATATATATATATATGTGAAAATATGTATTTTACGTGAAAATATGTATTTTACATATATAGACATACACACACATACATATATATACATACACACACTCATAAACTCTAGTTATAGCTAGACATGTAACTCTTGAATTTAAGACAGCGTGCAAAGTGTCAGGACCTTCTTCTAGGAGAATCAGATAAGCACCATGGTATTAACAATGTACTTTCAAAACAAAAACAAAAACAAGAACAAACAATGGTTAGACAACTGTGTAATAATACTAGAAGTAGAGGGACCATGCCAGAGGGTGAACAGATTATGTGAATTGCAAACACAGAGAAACAAGTTTCAGGGGAAGGAATGTCAGAGCTAAGAAAGACTTACTTGTCATACTTGACTCAGGGCAAATGTTCTCATATACATTTATTTCACTCCTTCATTTAGGAATGTATCTATCATGGAAAAAAACTAGATTTTCTCCATAGCTATATTTTTCCTGCTTTTGCAAAGGTGAAATTCTAAACCAGTAAAAAGAGCCTAATAGGGGAGGCAAGAGTGCTAATTGGTGCTAAAAGGAGGCTGTCTTACCATACAGGTATCTAAGTCTTCCAAGCGCTCTATTTCAGTCAACTCCTCCACAGTGATGATGGAGCGTTTAACTGGCTTTTCCTCAGTCAATTCAATCTCCAAGGCCTCTTGTTGTGGAAGTTGTTTGCCTCTCCTGGTAAAATGGTCAGCCTAGGGGGAGAAGAAAACATGTCAAATATGCACAGAGTGAGGTTAAAAGATGAGGAGCAGGAAAATTTGGCTGTTAGTACACTTGTGGCCATCCTCCACTAGATGGCGCAATGGGGAGCAAGGTTGGCAAGCAGATAGTCCTATACTAAAGATAGGTAGCCATTTCCCTTTTGCCATCCCTATATATCCCATGTTGTTCTTTCGGGGATTTTATTAGGCACCTGTTGTGAGGCAATTTATCTCTATGTTGAATACTGAAAAGGTGTTGGCTGAGGGCAAAAAAATGACCTCAACTCTCATTTCAATAAAGCAAGATCTGAATGGAAGAAACTCACTAGCAACTCTTGTCTTAACTACTGTCGGTTCACAAACTACTTGTTAGTTTTAATTAATTCATGTTAAGAATGTAATTTGAGATGCACACCATGAATTGCCAGTGTTGTGTTTTGGTTCAATGTGCTAAATGTGCAATCAAACAGCAGGATGTGGGAGATGTTGTGATAAGAAATATGCACCAGCACTGAGCTGATCTTCAAAATAAAACTAAGACTAGTCAATTCTATGGAATTTTGAGGTGAAAGGAGAGGAAAGCAATTTTGAACCATTCTTTGGGTACTCTGGGATAAAGTAGAGAGAATTTCATAGCTTTTCAAACTTTACTTCAACAACTAAGTTTCAGTTTGAAATTACTTTTTCTTTATTACAGTGATTATGCTCTCTCAGTCATCCTCCAAATTCAGAAGCACTGACATAAAATTGAAACTCAAGAAAGTGAAAATATTTCCAAAGAACCATTTTTCTAGGGGAAAAAAATAAGAAAAAAAGTTTCTAAACTATGTGGAAAGGTCAACATTTCTTCAGTGGTTATAACTCTACCCAATGCCAAAATACACATATGAAAAAAGACAAACTACCAAAAATCAATATGAAAAGTAAAAAGTGTAGTCAAACATTTAGATTCCACAGTGCGAAATGTCCATTGTCATAAAGAGTGACATTTTTCATCTGTATGTTTTGTTGATATGTAATTTGCATCATAAATAAATTTTGAGGTAAACTTTGGAAGGGTAACACACATACACACACGCCACCTTAAAACCTGCTTGCAACGGGAATGTGTTGCTTGTTTATTCTTTGTTATAGAGAATAGATTCAACTGGAAAAGTCAAATGGTAAATATTCTTATTCATGGTAGGTTGAACTGTAACCCCCCTCCCTATTTTGACTCATTTTTCTCACTAGAAAATAAATGTAATATAGGTCCCCTGGAGTTTTGAGAATGGTAATCTTTTACTTCTTACACAAAATCCTATGACCTACTCCTTTCTTATCCACTAAGAGTTACACCACTCTATAACTAGACTGTTGATTCATAATCAGCTCTTATGTACACAGTTGAAATTTCTTCACTGGAAGAAACTTTTCTTATAACCCATAACTTGCATGGAAGGTTTCCACTTCATTATGTTATCTTTAGTATTCAAGTGTCAGGCTACAACCATAGTTGTTAAACCTTCAACTCTGCCTCAGGGGATTCTCTGAGCTCCAAGGCAATGACACAAAATTTCTGAAATATTATCTCTCATATGTCCTATTACTGAAAGTGAAATCCTTTACTTTGCTATGAACTCTAGTTTCTACATAAGTGAAATTTAAATTTCTACCTTTGCAGCATCTCCTAATGCCCCACTCAGAAGTCAGTAGCTATCTCTCCTTTGAACACGCGCATTTTATTTTAGGCATTTTCTTTTCACATCTAAATATTTTATCTTCTTCCTTACTTTAAAGTATAGCCTATTCTTAAATATCCATGTGTAGGATAAGATGAACAAAGCTTAATGAAATTAAGATGACTAAGCCAATTTCTAGCTTTGGTCATCCCTTACCAAACATTTTTATCTAGGTTACTAAAAAATAGCAGTCTAATTTACTCTTTTCCCTCCCCATAGTTTAGTAAAGGCACAAGCAATCAATGGAAGAGCCAGAATGCAAGAAAGCAAAAGACTGGATAATTAAAAAACTAGGTAACATGACTTGGGACTGCATCATTCATAAACTGGATAACATGACTTAGCAGTATTATGAAGGAGAAAGTATATCTATGAAGCTATAGAGCTAAAAAGTATTGTAAGATCATCTTGTAACCATGCATATTTTCAGCTCAAAATTCTGCCAGCACTCACCAGTTTATGATGGCAGTGTGAAAGGGCATCCAAGATTTCATCTACAATTCGGTCAGAGAGGAAAGAGGCCACTGTCAGCTTCACTTCACTGTGTGAAAAAAGAAAAGAACGCCATAGAAGCATTTTAATTTGTACAAGGGAACTCCCTTCCAGTTTTGATTCTAGGCTGATATGATCATCAGTGACCCAGTTACCATCTCTGAAAATGGAATATAAGAATGTATGAGTAGGGCAAGGGACTTCTAAAAATAATCCTTACACACTCCAATAAACACAAAAGTAAGAGACTTTCTTTACCAATCTCAACCTGCCTTTGCAATTTCAAAACTCAAGATCTAATGTTAGAAATAAAAAACATCTGGTTAAAGGCAAACATAATAGGGACCATATGTTCAATTTGCCGAGGAACAATTCATCCATTGACAAGAGTGAAAACAAACCAGGTCTGGAATAAATTAAGAAAATCTAGTCTGGTTTTGTTAAGACTTGGTTATTACCTTAATACCCACACTCCTTCCTGGCCTCTGTTTTGCTCAGTTTTACAAAATAAATGATATTGTATTCTACCCCTGCTAATCTTGGCCATCTTGCACACCTGCATTGGGGGGCATTTCCAAAGACAGGCTCGGTTTAGAACCGCTGTTCTCCTTCTGCCTTTGCTACTAGATTGCTGTGCCATCTAGGGCAGGTCACTTCAATTCTTTGGACTGCGGTTTTCTCTTTAAAAAGAGAGGTTTGGGGGAGATTGGTCCCTTCTTGTCCTAGTAGTAGGCATCAATTTTTGTACCCCATGTCTAAGATGTTCAGTGAAAGCACTAATGTTCTCTTTCAGTGGCTCTCTTGTTTTTCATTCCCCGGAAGGAGACTCAGAAGCATCAGAGCATAGCTTGTGTGTTTCAGTAACAAGGAAGCTTAATCCCTCTAATTCCCATTGGATCACTGATAATTTAGGTAGCAGTTTCACAGTTAAGCCTTTATGAGGAATATACATCCATGAGTGTTTTCAGTTGTGAATGATCCTATACATTCACAGATGTGAACCCATGTGGTAGCCCCAAACCCCAACACCACTGAACAAATTCAGCAAGCTTCTGAAATCAAAAGGGTTTTAGTTTTCCTAGCAAGGCAAAGGAGATACTGAACAATAATAATAATAGTATCATATTATAAAACTAAAATGGAACACAACCATGCCCATCATGCAAAAATCTCCTCTAACCCAAGGACAAAAATGTAAACAAAGACACTGAGGCTTTGAAAGTTCTTTGGCAGTGCAAAAGGAGAGAACTGGAAGCATCAACTCAATGATGTTTTAGACTTAAGTTTTTCCAGTCTAAGGATTAAATTAAAAAAACAAAGGCTTCATTAAGTACCCCTGGTAAGGTCTTCATGTTTGCTCTGTCATACCTTTGCTATTTTTTCCTCAGCACATAAGGATAACCCACGTAAAAAAAAAAAGAAAGCTTTTCATTTTTTTGACTAAGGTAAAAAGAATTTTGTTTTCTTGTACCCTTCAGATGTCAGTGCTAAAAAGGAAAGTCTCTGTAAGAAATGCATCTGTATGCATGCCTCAGTAACTATTCTTCTACTAGGATGGACACTGAGTTTATCATTTATTTGCCTCAGCTAGCCCTAGCTTGTAAGGCTTTTATGGAAAATGGATCAAGGCAACACACGTGTGCACGCTTGTGCGTGTGTGCATGTGTATGTAGTAGACTGATTCCCAAAATGAAAACTGCATTCAAGTCATAGATTTGGAGTTGGAAGGGACCTCAAAGTCCATCTTGTCCAGGTTCCGAAACTTATTTGGCCTTCCATCCCCTTTAAAAAAAAATTACTTAGCACCACCTCAACTCCCCAATCTACTTTCTTTAACCCTTTAACAGTTAATAATTCAAAAAAGTTATTTTTTTGAAATGATGCATCTTAAATTTAATAATTTATTGTAAGTTTGTGGGTTTTTTTCCTGCATTGAAATTTTGATGACACAATGTCATGTAACCATATAGTACTGCATTGTAAAGAAGTCATTACATGCACATACTAATGCCAATGCATGCTGAACTTAACAACAATGCCTGCCAACATTTGCTTCTTAAGACGTGACCACTGATTGAGTATAACTAGCATTTTGTGTATTTATTTGGAAAATAATGTAATCACTACGACTTTAACTCTGATATTCAACAGATGAAATATGTACGAATAGCTTTTCAAAATTTTCTTATCTTCTCTTCTTTCCTTATGCCTCCGCAGCCCCCTTATTTTCAATGCCCTTCAATGGCACCCAAGACCACTACTGCACCTGTGGATCATTCTAGCACCCTATGGGGGGGGCATTGCCCACTATGGTAACCTATAATGAGTCCAACACATTTTACAGATGAAGAAACTGAGGCCCATATAGGTTAAAAGACTGTACTCAAGTTCACAGAGGAAGTGAACCTCAGAGATGAGAATTGAACTATGATCCCCTGACTGCAGAGAGAGTTTTCTTTGCACTTCATCATCCTGCTTCCCAATCTTGTGAAGTCCAAGAATCAGAAAACATTACATAATGGACATAATAAAGTTTCTGTTCAACTCAACTGGCTCAACACGTCATCTTTTTTGTTAGTTCTACAACTTTACAAAGACTTGGCTGATTTTAACCAGATTTGAAACTTCACATTGTACTAAAGGTAATGAATATATACCCACACTGGAGTGGGTGTTCTCTTGGAGGTTTGATTAACAGTCTTGAAAGAAAATGGTAGTAACAGAAATTCTAAATGGGATATTCTCAATAATTTTGGGGGGAATTTCATTGAAATGTTGTTGAGTGAAATAGCAATTAGTCAATAATTCCATACAAGTCTTTGAATCTCTCTCCCTTTTTAAAAATCCTTTCAGTGACCTTGGTCAATTCCTTTCCTGTTCACAATCAGGTATCATAGAAACTCATTGAAAGCAGCATATTAAATGTGAGACATTCTCATAACTGCAGAATTACTGTTTCCTCCAAATTGCATTGTTTAAATTACAAATACAGTTGTCCCTTCCACACTCTGACTTTTCCCATTGTGATTTTTAATATATTTTGGGTTGGCATAAGAAATTAAATAGGAATTTTGGGGGAGTTTTGTGGAAACTGCAGATGACACTCAACAGCCAGCAGACAACACAGAGCCTATGATCAAATAATTAACCCAGATTGTACAATAAGGTACTGTAAACACTCCATAAAAGAAAAAAAGCAGACTTCTCTGGTATGAAGGGAGAGCCTAAAAATTTTATGCAGATTTTCCAGATCTCAGGGGCACTGTGTCCCTAACCCGTGATGTAGAAGGGAATACGGTGTAGCATATTTCAACTATGGAGGCGAGAGCAGCCTGGCGTACTACAAAATGTCCTAGAGATCCAGGTTCAAATCCTGGCTCTGGCACATGGGACCATTGACAGGTCTTTAAATTTTTCTGAACCTCAATTTCCACATTTGTAAAATGAAGCTAATAATATAGGGGACTGCCAACCTCACAGAACTCTCAAGCAGAATGGATTTTGAAGCAGTGTAGAAATTTGACATTATTAATTAGTGAATTATTTGTGCTACTTTTCCCTGCTATGTCCTATGGTGATGTAATTGCTTGTTAGCCCATCAACTAACTAAATCCGGAAGGAAAGGCAGCAAGATATAATAGAAAGAGTGAGAGGTTTGGGATCAAATCCCACCACTAATACCATATGAACATAGGCAAGTGACTTAACTTCTCTGATCCTCAGGTCCTTAACCTGCAAAATGGGAATAAGAATACTTAGAATACATGGCTCACAGGGTGACCGTTAAGTACCAAGGTAAGAACCAAGACAATATACACAGAAAGTCCTACATAAACGTCAGTTATTATTACTAGAATAAAACCCATAGCCTATCAATTTTAGATCTTTCTTGCATTCTTATAAAGGATTGGTTGTGAAGTTTGTAATTAGTGACAAAAAGTCATGTTATTAAATTATCTGGGTTTAAAACAACCTAGGTTTTTCATTGACCATTACCTCCTTAAAAAAGATCACTAAGAATCAGTGGGATTCTTAGAGGGATCAGTTGGGAACAGATTGTAATCACCAGAGTATTTTGGTAAACAACTTGAAGAAGTTTGGTGGTGATTAGAGATACTAAATGGGAATTTTTTTTGTGACAACTACTTTTAAAAAAAGCTTCTAAATGTCCAAAAGGAAATTTGTGTAAATTCCCAAAAAAGTCATCTTAGCATATTTGTAACATCACAAGCTACCTGATACTATGCTTGTATTGAAAGAGTTCAGAGGCCACACCAAAATCGTAGTGGGCTTCTATCCATTGAAGAAATTCACATTTACATCTACTATTTCAATCTGTGATGAGAAATTGATGGCTAATCCTCAGGCTAATGATTAATGAAGGCAAAATGTTAAAAGATCATAAGCAGCAAACAGGGCATACATGTATGAAAATCAAAATTCAAAAGAGCAGATAAAGGCAAATCTACAAATGACACAGATTTATGTAATTTTCCTCTTTGGAAAATGTAAAAGACTTACATATTTTGTGTAACAATATGACTATCCAGACTGGGCCTATTAATCAGATCCAAGAACTATATGTGTTTACACACACACACACACACACACACACACACACACACGTATATATTAAATATGTATTAGATACCCAAGGAGCAATGAAACATTTCTTTATGTGTGTGTATGTGAATATGTACAAACACATACATATATACACATACAAAGAAATACTTTATTGCTCATCGTACCTAGAAAAATGAGAAATTGTACATTCTAATTATCAGATTTTTCAACCAACCTAATTTTGTTAAGGATATCGATTCCAGACTGCTCCAATAGGACATTTTTAACAAAGGTGCGTGGAATGGAAATCTTTTCAGTGCTGGCATGAATCAGGTCTTGTCGGATGTTTGCCTTTTTCATCACATTGGGGCAAAGATCCTCAGCAGCGTCTACCATGGATTCAAGTAATGCCTGCAATGAAGCACAAGTAGAGGGGAAAATATCAGGATATATCAAAATATCAAGTATGCAAGACACCAGAACTCCCGTAAAATTGAAAAGTCATTATGTGTGACTGTGAAGACTTCTGATAGCAGCAACATGCCTGCAAGTCACAAAAGAAGAGGATAATGGAATCCTGCTATGTGAAGTATTAATCTGGGCACCCCCACTGCGATTGTTACTTCCAAATGGTCATTGATTGCATATAACCAGACTAAACCTGACATGTGCTAGGAATAAACAAGCTATAGGCATTTATAAACTGGTGTTTTAAAAATGGTGTGTCAGCTGTACTTCATGACAAAAAGTGTTTAAAATTTTAAAAGCAGCATTTATCTCACAAGTTGGCACTTTTAGGCTTTTCTCCAGGACACACTGAAAGTAGTCTTCTGGAAATATGCACACAGGATATAATCCTGGTTTTAGATCTTTTAAGATAGGACTGTCATTGAAACCTAACATAGCAACATGGTAAGTTAAATCATTCTTTACCTGTGGCCAGGTGGCTTCACAAAAAATGAAAAATTGCTTCCAAATTTATGATTTATAACATAACATCCCTAGGTATCAAGTATAACAACCTCAGGAACTCAGATTCCCATGAAAGGCTTGAAACTCTGAATTCTCCTTTGTTATAAAGTAGTAATATCACTGAAAAAAATCAAGATTTTATACCAAGAAACCTCAACCTTCCAAGAAGAAGAAAAGAAAAGGTTAGGGGTTTTTTTTGGTTGCTTTTAGCATATTCCATTTAGGACCAAACATTAGAAAGTATCTTTAGGAAGATAAAAATCATCCTGCTTCAGAATAACTTCATGCCAAATACTCTGTGCCTTGGCTTCAAGGTTTTCAGCCACAAGATTCAGAAGTGGAAGGACATTTGGAGATCTCTTAAGAGTCAACTGGGGGGGGGTGGCTAGGTGGCACAGTGGATAGAGCACCAGCCCAGAAGTCAGGAGGACTTGAGTTCAAATCTGGCCTCAGACCAAACACTTGACACTTACTGGCTGTGTGACCCTGGGCAAGTCACTTAACCCCAATTGCCTAAAAGTAAAAAAGAAAAAAAAAATTTTTTAAAAAAAGAGTCAACTGGGGCACGGCGGGGGGGGGGGGGTATGGGACGGGGCAGCTAGGTGGCACAGTGGATAGAGCCCTGGCCCTGAAGTCAGGAAGACCTCAGTTCAAATCCAGCCTCAGATATGTAACACTTACTAGCTGTGTGACCGGGCGGTCACTTAACCCCATTGCCTAACAAAAACAAAAAACAAACAAACAAACAAACAAACAAAAAAAGAGTTCAACTAGGTGATATAATAGATAGACCTGGAGTCAGGAAGATTGGAGTTTAAATTCTGGCTCAGGCACTTAGTGGGCAAATGTTTTAACCTGTGTCTGCCTCAACTTCCTCATCCATAAAAGGGGGATAATAATAGCACCTACCTCCCACGGCTGTCATAAGGATACAATAAGACAATATTTGTAAAGTGTTTTGCAAATCTTAAAGAACTACATAAATGCCAGCTATAATCATCATAACCACCATCACCCACCACAACCACCATCATCAGCCCCTGAAACGATAAATGACCCGTCCAAAATCCTAAAACGTAGAATATAACTGAGCCAGGACTGCAACCTAAATTAACTGACTGCAGTTTATTGACCTTGTAAGCATGTCTCAGTCTAATGCCTTTCCAAAACAATTCCATGGATGACAGTGATTACAAAGGAAGGCAGTAGGGTATAGTGGGAACAAATAGCATAAGTTTCTGACACCAGTTTTGCTACTAGCTGGCTGTATGACTTGAGCCACTTAATGTCTCAGGCCTCAATGTTTTCATTCTTAAAACCAAAGGGTCATTTAGACTAGAGCATTTCCAAGGTCCTTTGTAGCTATGACTGATTGTGTGACTAGGATGCAATATATAGACACTCCTACAAAAGGCACTCAAAATTTAATTAATAATTATGAATATGCAATCATTTATACTCTCTTCCTCTTTCCAATCTTGACACCATGGAGAACAAGTTCTACTCCATGCCATCTTCTGCTACCAAATGCCTTGTATCCTGATCTTATCACCAATCATTGCAGAGCAAGGTAACTTTATGCTGTTTTTTTTCCCTTTTATGTAGTATTTTATTTTTCTGCAGTTACACAGTTAAAAAACAATTTTTAACATTAGTTTTTAAACCATTGGGTTCTAAATCCTTTCCTTTCTCCTTCTCCCCCTTTCATTGAGAAGGCAAGTAATCCAATATAGCTTATACAAGGGTAGTCATGCTAAACATTTCCATAATAGTCATGTTGCTAAAGAAAACATAGACCAAAAACAAACAAAAAAACCCCAAAAACCAAAACCTTAAGAAAAATAAAGAAAGCAAAAAAAGTGTGCTTCAATCTGATAACAGACACATCAGTTCTTTCTCTGGGGATGGACAGCCTTTTTCATAGTAAGTCTTTCAGAGTTGTCTTGGATCACTGTATTCTTCATGCTCTTTCTTATTAAATTCTCTATTCCATTCAGCTGTTCCAAAACCTTTTCCTCTCTCCGTATACTCCTACTTCATCCTCTTCACCCACTTTACAGCTATGAACCTCCTCTCATACTTTAGTGAAAAATTGAGGCCATTTGCTGAGAGCTCCCTCTTTTCCTCTCACCATCTTATTGTCCTTTAATAACATCCCCAACTATATCCTGCTTCATTCCAGGTTTTGATGAATAGGTAAAATTTTGGGTTCCCATTCCCACCTATCATCTGCAGCAGATTGCTTCCACTGCCATCCTACTCTCTGTAATCTTCAACTGCTCCCTATCTTCTGATTCCTTCTCTGCTGCCTTCAGCTGCCATTGCAAACCATCCTTTAAAAAACCTTCAGTCAAGTGCCCCTTCCTTCCTCAGATAAACTCTTTGAAAAAAATTATTGACACATCCTCACTTCTCAATCCTCTGCAACCTGGCTCCATATCTTATCATTCAACTGAAAGTGTTTTCTCCAAAGTTATCAATCATCACTTACAGCTGCAAAATTAAATGTTTTTTTTTTTCCCTCAATCTCCATCATTGTTGATGACCTCCTCTTGGGCATTCTTTCCTTTCTAGGTTTTTGTGACTCTTCTCTCTATTGTTTTCCTACCTTTCTGACCACCCCTCAGTCTCCTTTGCTGGATTTTCATAAATTTCATGCTCTCTAATTGGAGGAAGTTCTCTAGTGTTCTGTCCTAGACCCTCTTTTCTCTCAACATTCTCTCCCAGGGATCTAATCAACTCTCATGGATTAAAGTCTCAGCTAGTCATATGTTGATAATTCCCAGATTTATATATCCAGCCTTAATAGCTTATCTGAGCCCCAGTCTCATAACACCAACTGCCTATTGGACGTTCTCAACTGGATGTCCTGTAGGCATCTCAAACTCAACATGCCCCAAACTGAACTCTTTCCTTCCAGACATGCCCCTCTTCTGAACTTTCCTATTGTGTAAAGACTACCACTACCCTCCCAGTGACGCAGGTTCAAAACCTTCATGTGTGACTCCATTTAAATTATCATAATTAGTTGTTCTTTTCCTTTCCTTCTCTACAACATCTCTTGTTTCTGATCTCTTTCCTCCACTATCCTAGTTCAGAGCTTCATACCCTAACTGGTCTCTCTCCCAGAAGTCTCTTCCCCACTCTGGTCCATCTTTTTTTACATCTGCCAAAGTGATATTCCAAAATGTCAATGTCACCTCCCAGACACTAGAGGCTACTTATGACCTCTAGGATAAACTAAACTCATCATAACCTGATCCCTACCTACCTTTTCCATCTTCTTACACATTACTCCCCTCTATGTACCCCATAGTCTAGACATACTGGCCCACTTGTTATTTCATACAAATCTCTGGTTCCCTTTTCCCTGCTTTTTCACTTCCCATCCCCACCTCTCCTTGGCTTCTTAAGATTCCCTGAATTGACTTCCTTCTGAATGAACCTGATTCTGGTCCCTTTAGCTGTAGCACTTTCCCCATAAGGTTCCATCTACTCTGGATGTAGCTTATGTGTACGTGTACACACACACACACACACACACACACACCCCCACACATATACATGGACACATATTTCTTCTACTACATCATAAAATGCTCAAGAGGAGGGACTGTTTTTCTTCTTTATTTGTAACTCAGTGCTTAGCAAAGTGCCTAACAGAGTAAGAACTTAATAAGTACTTGGAAATTAATAAGCTGTAGGCAAGTATCTGAGTTGATTACGTGGCTTAAATAGCATGTCCCAAAAATCTTAGTGCAGACTCTGTCTACTACCTGGGAATTAAATGATGACACTGAATTGCTACTTGACCTTACAAGGACTATCCTTTCTTTTCTAAAGAGGTAAAGAACCTGTTGCTGTCTTGTAGGGGAATAATCCTTCTCCTAACCCCCTTTGATCTCAGCTCAATGCTGATACAGGTTGGAACCTGTAATTATAGGGGTGGCAGAAGCCAAGGAGAGGTGGGGAAAGGAAGGTGAAACCCTGAAGTCATATGTCCCTCTTCTGGCATTCCTGCCTAAGGACCAGTCTAACAGGTAGCATTTCTACTTCAAGAGCAATTTCTAGAAAAGTAAATGGTGGAACTGAAATTCCTAATTCTTGATTTGGAATCAGGAAACATGGGGTAAGAACCCCAGCTAATATGATATCTAAATCTCACAGCATTGTTGTGAGGAAAGTGTTTTGTAAACCTTAAGGTATTAAAGACATGGGATCGAGTGTTAGCTCAGCCACCTCATACTCTACCAAAGGCCTTGTCCTGATCCTCACTCTAAAGGACAGCTATTATGAGGCTATAGTTAGGCATTCATGGAGTAAGGACTTTTCTTGAAAACAGAGTTGAACCTATCTTCTGTATTTTGGAGAACAAAAGACTACCACAGCTCTTCCAATATGCCTTTGCCTTGTGAAAAAACAGAAGACATATGAGGTAACTTTTTATGTTCTGTATGTTTCCAGGTGATATTATTAAAAATCCATGGAGAGAGTCAAAAGATTTGGGTGCTTGCTTAATGGATAGAAGAGAAGCTGCAACAAAGAACATTCTATTCTGGAGACAAAGAAGGTAGAGCAGAAACTATAGCTGCAAGTAAGGGATAACATTGGAAAGGGAAGGCAACACAAAGTCAATCCTTTGGATTCCTCAGAAGAGGTGGGAGAGGGAGGTAGGAATAATCTCTTAGCGGCTAAAGCCAATGGCCTTTTCTCAATACTTGTTCTTGACTTTTTTTGTAGTCTTTAACACTTTTGATCACCCTCTCCTTCTTGATACTCTTTTTCTCTAGGTTTTCAGGACACCAATATCTCCTGGTTTTCCTCCTACCTATCTGAATTCTCCTTCCCTTTCTCCTTTGGTGAATCATCACTCAGATCAACACCTCTAATTGTTACTGTCCCACAGGGTTCTTTCCTGGATCCTTTTCTCTTCTTACTCTACGCTGCTTCACTGGGTGATCTAATCAGTGCTCATAGATTTAATTACCATCTCTATGCTGAAAATTCTCACATCTACCTATCCCACCTTAACCTCGCTGATGATATCTCACATCTCCAAGGCCTCTCAGACATCACAACCTGAATGTGCAGTAGACCCCAACATGTCCAAAATGGAACTCACTATCTTTTCCCCTAACTGCACCTCCCTCTCTTGAGTATTAGTGCAGAAGGAAACACAATCCTCCCAGTCCCCCAGGCTCACAAACTAAGTATCATCCTCAACTTTTCACTATCTCTAACCCTCTACGTCCAATCTGTTGCCAAAGTTTGTCAATTTTACCTCTGTAACATTTCTCAGATATGGACCCTGACTCCAAGTGCAGGACTTTGAGTTAGGAAGAATTGCATTTGAATCTTGCCTCAGACTCTTGCTATCTGTGAGACCCTAAGCAAATCACTTAACTTCTGCCTCAATTTCCTCATCTATAAAATGTGGATAATAATGGTAACAACTTTACAGGGCTTTTGTGGGGATCAAATGAGTTAACATATACAATGTGCTTTGCAAAACAGAAAAGTCGACTTAAGTGGTAGCTATTATAATCATAAGTCAAGTCCATTTTCAATTCAATCCAGTTAAATAAGCATCTGTTAATAATTTGATATGTGCAAGGCACTGTGTTACTGTGGTGCTAGGAGCACAAAGAATGGAATCTGGATTAAAAGTCTGATAATTAGATTTATTTTGTCTGGATTGAATTGTCACTAACAGATGTTACAAACTATGCATTTCCTGATCAGAAAAGCTCCTAAGAATTATGTAGTACTTAGTAATGAAAATAGTTTAATATCTTAATTCTAACATTCGCCACCATACAGCCCAAAGTTCTTGGATAAATTTTACCACTTAAACAAACACACACACTCACACACACACACACACTACACCCTTTAGTGTTTTAGAATCCTCTTTAACATAAAGTGAAGAAGAACCATTTGCATTAGAAAATGTGTGATGTGAAAAACAATTTGATTAGTAAAATCTCTTAGCTGTATTAGTTAACGTTTGGCTTTTTGCTACCCATGTCCTACAAGTCTATTTTTCAAATCAACTTGAAATTTACTAGGGAAATTTTTTCATAGATTAAACATCAAATGGGATCAGAAATTTCTGATTTTAAAAAAAAACTCTAAAACTCAAGTATTCCAAGGGGAAAAATGAAATTTTCCTTATGTTCAAACATTTAGGTTGTATTCATCACTAGTGATTGTAAGAGTCAATGTTAGTAAGAGGGAAATATTAGAGATGGAGAAGAGAAAAATTTTAAAAGCACAATGTGAATCACCTTAGTCCTGCAATGCTTGCTGCAGAGAGGCTAAAATACCTATCCTAAAACAAGAATTTCCTTATACTCAGAACCAACTTTCTCACACTGAAAAAGGATGAAAAGCTGCTTAACAGCTCTTTTATACTCTCCATTTAAAAACGAATTTTGGGGGCTGCTAGGTGGCACAGTGGATAGAGTACCAGCCCTGGAGTCAGGAGAACCTGTTCAAATCCAGCCTCAGATACTTGACATTTACTAGCTGTGTGACCTTGGGCAAGTCACTCAATCCTGATTGACTACAAAAAGGGGGAAAAAAAAAACCAAGTGAGAATTTAACTAGATGGTCTCTGATCCAGTTCTAAATTTACAATCCTATCTTGCACATAAAGGACACTCCATCTTGTGTCTCAATCTAACTTCCATGCCTGGAGAATGCTTTCTTCTCACCTCAAGCTCTTAAAATTCCTGCTCTCTTCTCACCTCAAGCTCTTAAAATTCCTCATTTCCTTCAAGAACTACTTTTTTTTTGGTTGTTGAGGCAATCAGGATTAAGTGACTCACCCAGGGTCACACAGCTAGTAAGTGTCAAGTGTCTGAGGTCGGATTTGAACTCAGGTCCGCCTGATTCCAAGGCCCAAGCTCTATCTGCTGCACCACCTAGCTGCCCCTTCAAGAACAACTTGCCACATGAAACCTTTCCTGATCCCCTTAACTGAAAGTGCCTTCTATCCCAAAATAACTGTCTTGGATCATTTTTAGTTTTGTTCTCTTTCTCTCTCTCCCTCTAACTCTTTCTCCCGCATTTCCTACCCCTGCCTCGTTCTTCCCTCTCCCCCTCTCCATATTTATGTTCTTTCCCCTGATACACGGTAAGCTCCTTCAAAGCAGGGACTGTTTCACCCTTGTCTTTGTATTCCCATTGCCTTGTATAATGCCTACCCTGTAGAAATGTGTGCTGACTGACTGAATATGCCCTTTCCCTATGAAATATGCCACCTCTTGGAACAAAGTTAAAAAGGCAGTTAAGCAAAACCAGCCAAAATTTCAACCATGTCTGAAAGCATTTGCTCCCATTTCGTTGGGAGGTCAGCACATTTTCTGAATTCTTTTCCAGGGACAAGCTTAGTCATTGTAATCATACAGCAATCAGGTTTTTTTTATTATTTTTCTGAAAAGGGTATTCTTGATGTTGTGTTTCATGTTTTTTAAAAATGGGCCAGCAATCCAAAGAAGACAGAATCTCTTCAATGAAGAGAACTGCAGAACTCTTCAATTAACAATTAGCCATTAGGAGAAGTAAGAGTCCTGCTACCACTTTTCAGCCTCTGCCCAAAAAAACATTTAAAACCATACTCATTTTTAATATCACATCTGAAAATAACACACAAGATTCTCCCCTTATTATATGTAAAGAGGATAGGGGCTTTAACTCCTATAAAATCTGCATTTTCTCCCTCATTAACTTTTTTAATTTACTAAAGGAAAAAAAGCAATTAGAATATTACATTATTAGTCCTGTTTTGCCCTAAATCTTCCTGTGTAGTAGCAATCTGTTTCCTCAGTCTAAATGCTTTTAGAATTTCAGATAGGTGTGTAGAAGGAATACTGAAACAGGTGAACTAGGCAAAGAAAGGAGCTTTCTAGAGGCATAACTCCTCCAGAGTTCCTTGTGCTAAGAGATTAGAATACTATTAGGCTCAAAGGCAGGGAGGTAGGCAAGTCTTGTGGATTCTTCTTTCTAGGTTGCAGGAAAAGTTGACCAGCATTCAGAATGGTGCAACTGCAGCTATAAGGACCTTTAGAGAATAGCAAGGGCACCGCTGAGTACACAGTTACCATTATAGCTAAATAAGTGTACCATGACAGGAAGAAGACAGTATTTAGACTCTGAGAACCTGGGTTCTAATTCTAACTCTGTACTGCTACTGACTCTGTGTGACCTTGTGAAAGTCACTGAATAATATCTCTCAACCTCAGTTTCCTTATATGTAAAATGAAGTTTTTCAGGAAACTACATTCTAAAAAGAACTAGCAGATATAACTACTAAATACATGCTGATGATCTTTTAAGAGTGGGAAGAATTGTAGGGGTACCAAAAGACAGGAAAAAGGCAAATGATGCCCCAATTTTCAATAAAAGGAAGAGGGTAGAGAATGCAAACAATCAAACAATGAGCTTCATTTTGATTCCTGGAAAAATTCAAGAATATATACTATTGTATATATTTTGTGTGTGTGTGTATATATATAATATATTTTATAAAAATTCATTTTCTTGTTACTACTATTATTATTATTATTACTATAGCTATTGCAAAGATAAAAAAATAAGTAAGCTTAACCTTTAATTGTTCATCCACAACCCTTGTAACTTCTCCAGCCATTGATTCTAATGTCTCCTCAATTGGACTGGATGATAAACCATTGGCTCCGACCCATGATGCACCACCAACATGGTATAGATTTGGTAGCAACTGAAAAACAAAGGAAAATAACTATTTAGTGGCTAAACAAAATAAATAAATTATCAAAATCACCGTGTAAGAAACCTAGAATTGTATATTTGTTAACTACGTGGTTTATTAGGAAGACAAACAATTCAACATTTTAGGCCAATCTGTGAGGGACAGTCTTTTTTTTTTTTAAATCAAATATTTATTTAAATTTTTAATTAAATATTTTTCAATGAGGAAAAATTGATTTTCTCTCCTTCCTGTCCTCCACATTGGAAAAGACAAAAGAAAAACAAAATCCTGTAACAATTAGATATGGTAAAGCAAAACAAATTCCTGCATTGGTCAAGTACAAAAAATTAATGCCTCAGTCTGCATTAAGTCAGTCAGAAGGTAGGAAGCATCCTCTAGAACTGTGGCTGGTCATTGGATTCATCAAAGCTCTTAAGTCTTTTAAATTTTTACATGGTTTTTACAGTGCCGTACTTTTCGTCTGGTTTACAAGAAATGTGAAATTTAGGGGCTAAGAAAAATCAGCAGCCCAACCTTCTCATTTTAAGGATAAGGAAACTGAATCTCAAGAAGGTGATCTGTCCAAAATCATACAATCACAATGGCGGGGCAAGTCTAAAATACTGACTCATAGTTCAGTCCATGTTCCACTCCACCACATTATTGGGAAAAATTCTAATTTAGGTAAAGCTCTTCCTGGGGAAGGTTGGGTAGGGGTGAGATGCTATGGCATAGGTGGCGTGGCAAAAGAGTACTGGACCATAGTTCTTTTTAACTCTATCACTAACTTAATATGGAACTTTGGACTAATCACCATTTCTCTGATCATCAGTTCCCTCATCTACTCAATAAGAGGGGTTACTATACTGCATTTTTTCTAAAGGCTCCTTCTAGCCCTGAAATTTTACTATGTTCTTAATTCTCAGAAGAATAGTTTTCCATAAATCTTTGGTACAAACTAGAGTTAACTCCTAATTAATAAAAGACTGATTATCTAGTCTGTAGTTCACATAAACCCTCTGTATTTTCCTCTTCCATCTACATTTTATCCATTTTACACTCATTAGTCAAGAGAAGACAGTAGACATCGAACAGGTCAAATGTGATTATAATTAGTGACTGATAAAAGTCTACATGAAAGATGAATGAAATCATTTGCTAAAATGAAATTTCAGGATTATTGCTAGATTTCAGTCATCCATGTAAAAAGAAGAGCAATTTCTTATCACAAATAATAAAAAATTGGGTATATTTTACAAGGCCCGTATACCATGACTGTCATTGTTGTTTTAATGTAAGACTTGGAGTGAAGCTTACTGTTTTGGAGTTCTTAGCATCTCGCATAAGCCTTTCTGCTGATTTTAGGTCTTCCTGGATGGTGTCCCCACCACAGTTGCGTAAAGAGTTGAGATGGTCTTGTACTTTTACACATATTCTGTCAATCATCTAATTCATACCATGAGGGAGGAAATGATAGCATACACCAGAGTTAGCACAACCAATATTCAGATACAACAAATAAACAAAACAACACAGAATGAAAAAGAAAAGGAAATCAATTAAGTAGAAGTACAGATGAATAGGTATCAAACTGGAATTTCCTAGATAACAAAAACATCCCGATGTTTTAATTCTTAAAAACATAGGCCTCCTCCTTCCATATTCTGGTCTTAGTAAGGATGGTATAACAAATGCAATTATTTTTGTTTGATCGTTCAAATCCTCAGAGTCACAATTTGGGAACATCAATTCCTGCTGTATCACCAAGAAGTGCCAGAAAAGATGTGGAAAGAAATCTGGGTGAATGTATCCTGATTCTGAGAATTTGCTTCTGGACTATACATTAACATAAGATTCCTTCTGTGAGCTGCCTCTTACCTCTTCACTCTATCCCTATGGTTGTTAAAAAAATCTTCCTAAAACGTAAGTTTGACTATTGACTCCCCTTAAGAAGTCTCAGTAGCTCCCTATGACTTTTAGGGTGAAACATTACCTCCTTGGCTGGCACCTAAATCCCTTAACAATTGTGCTCCAGTCTACCTTTTCAGACTTTAATATCCTCCACAGTCTCTATATTGCATCCAAAATGGTAAAAAAGGCTATTCTCTGAAGCATCATACATACGAATGAACATGAATTTCAAAGCATGATTGTTAAAGTGAAAGGGTAAATGTATTATCACAAAATTATATCCTAGCATAATAATGAATTAATTCATTTTAAGTAATGATATTCATTAGAAAGGACATAAGCAAAAGCATTGCAGGCTCCAAATTTACTTCAAGCACTTGGATCAAGTTTGTGAATGGTTGGATCAGTTCATAACTCCACCAACAATGCAATAGTATTCCAATTTTCCCATATCTTCTCCAAGATTTATCATGTTCCTGTTTTGTCATGTTAACCAAACTGATAGGTGTGATGTCATACCTCAGAGTTGTTTTTTCTTACTTATTTTTAGTTTTCAACATTCACTTCCACAAGATTTTGAGTTCCAAATTTTGTCCGCATCTCGCCGCTTATCCCAGAAGTTGAAGTCTTTGGGTTTTTCAAATAGTAGATTACTACACTGTCTTGTGTACCTTACCTATCCCACTGATCCACCACTCTTATCTAGTACCAAGTAGTTTTGATGACTGCTGCTTTATAATACAGTTTTAGATCTGGTACAGCTAGTGTCTCCTCTTCTTGGAAGCCTATCCTGAGTTCCTTAGTTTTTAGTACACTCTTCCAACTTAAATAATCAGGTATACATGTATATTGTTGTTTGTCCTATGTTCTCGAAGAGGACCATGACATCAGGAAGATGATGCCATGACTTGAAAGTGAAATGGATTTAAGTGAGGGAGGGCTGTGCAAAGTCACCAGCCTCACCCTGTCCTCCTGAGCCTTCTGGGTCCAGTGGCATGTTGGATTCCTACCCTGCCAGTCTCCCTGTAGAATCAGGATTCTTTATAGTTTCATCTTTGTAACCTTAATGATAGTACAGTATTCTGCACATATTTCACATTTGATAAGTGATTAGACTGGATTAAGCAGAATAAAGGGGAAGAAAGATTAGGTTTAATAGAAGATTCCATTTAGTATACAATTTTAAATTGTTAAGATAATAACATACCTAAAATTATTTCTTTTCCCCACTGTAATATACCCTTCCTGCCAAATTAACTATAACTGGATCACTTCCAAGATATTCTAGGATTTTGCTCATATTTAAAACTCAATGAAAAAAAAGTCCACAGACTGTTAAAGCAGGCAATGACCAACAACAACAAAAAAAAGATACAACTTATTCTTTTCTACATCTGTATTTATTTAGGGAAAAACAGTAATCAACACTAAAATCCAGCACAAGCAGTACTCTACTGTGTTTCTAAAGTTTCTATTCCATTTTGCAACAATCTATTTGTTTGGCCATTCTTGTTTCTTTTTATGTAAATCAACTCAAGAATAGTTTTGAGATTTGTATCTTATCTGATAACTCAGTTACATATTCATGAAGCAAATGTTTATAAGGCAGTGAGAGTTTGTACACTGAATCTCACTTTGTTGTATTCATTTTGAAAGAATTTACAACAAGCAGGAGATGTTTGAGTTACAGTGGTGAAGTGCTCTCCTAGCCTCTTCCATCTTGAGGCAGGAGATGTTTAGGGAATGACTGGTGCCCAATTCTTCCCCTCACGCTTCCACTGGAGACTGGAGAACAGGAACGAGACTCATGGAGATCAGGCATTGGTATTTGTGCTAAATTTTGAAGTTATTCAAAGAGGTGGAGGTTAGGAAGGAAAGAATTCTAGCCATAGGGAGTAGCCATGTGAAAAAGTAGGGAGACAGGAGATAAAATATTTTATACAGGAAATAATGTTAGGCAATTTGGAAGAATGTACATTGTGTGAAGTGAATAATAAGCAAGCAACCTAGAAAAATAGGTTAGCGTCAGGTTGTGAAAGGATTTAAATGATAAATGGAAGTGTGTTTATTTTATTCTAGAGGCAGGAGGGAGCCATTAGAGTTTCCAGGGCAGGGGAGTGACATGGTCAAATCTGAGCTCTAAGCAAACTGATTGGGCAATCGTCTAGATCAGAAAAAGATAGAAGAGAGGTAGGTAGACTAATAAGGAAGCTATTTCAGTGGTTCAAAAGGGAAGTGGTAAGGATCTGAAATATGTCAATGGCTGAGAGAATAGAAAGATAAAAGAAATCTTACAGACTCTTTACTTTGTGTTCCTACTCACTGAACTTCAAATCCTGATTGTTATAAAGTCATGATTCTTCATAAATTCTATGAATGGCTTCTTTTTTTGCAGCAATTTTTGTCAAATAGTGAGTACTTATCCCAGTAAGCTGGAGTCTTTGTGTTTTCAGGATTCTAGGGTATTAGATGCATTTGATTCGGCTTGCTGTGTACATAATCTGTCCACCAATTCATCTTGATTTTAACCAGTAATAAATTGTTTTTGTAATTACTACTCTGTAGTATAGTGTGAGATTGGGCACTGTGAGGTCCCTTTCATTTCCACTTCTTTTCATTTATTGCTCTTTAGATTCTTTACCTCCTTATAATAAATGCTAACATTTATATATAGCACTTACTCTCTGTGAGGCACTGAACTAAACCCTTTATAATTATGAATTTTGTCATTTTTTTCTAGTTTGACAATGAAATCCTCTGCATGGAACTGAATAATCAAATTACTTTAAGTAATATTGTCATTTGTATTACACTGGCTTGTCTTAAATATGAGTAATTTGTATTTTTCCAATTAGTTGTCTATATTTCTTTATAAACTATTATTTGTAGTTGTATTTATATATTCTTGTATGTATCTTGGAGAGTAGACTTCTAAGTATATTAAATATTTGGTAATTAATTTTAAGAGGAATTTCTCTTTCAATCTCTCCCTATTATGATTTATTGTTATATAATAATGCTAGTAATTTACTTGTGGCTTTATTTTCTGACCTGAAAATTTTCTAAAGTTATTCTTTCAACTAGTTTTTAGTTGACCCTTTAGGGCAATTATCTACCAAAAGTAATAATTTTATTTCTTCTTTACCTATGATTATTTTGTCAACTTCTTTTTCCTTTTCTTATGTCTAGTCAAAAGTTTCTAGTACTATGTCAAAAAGAAGTGATGACAGACATCCTTGTTTCACGTTGAATTGACTGGAAAAGACTCTTGTGTATCTCTTATTTGGGAGTTCTTGGTTTTAGATGTATACTATTGTCGTGTTTTTGATCCACATGATTTAAAAATTATTTTTTTCATTTTCATTTTCAACTAAATAAAAAAAAGTTCACATCTTAAACAAACTAGAGAAATATGCAAAAAGTAAAAGTAACATATCAGATTTATGGAGAACATAAAAATAAATGACCAAAGAAGGAATAGAGAGGGTCATAGAAGACAAAATGAATTATTTTGAAATCATAAAATTAAAAACTTTTTTGTGCAAACAAATTTAATAAACCTAAGATTAATTGGTAAATGATTAGAGAAAAAAATTTGCCACAAAGTTCTCTGATAAAGGTCTCATTTCCAAGATATATAAAGAATAATTGGAATTTATAAGAAAGAACCATTTCCTAATTGATGAGCGGCCTAATGATATGAATGTACAGCTCTCAAGGGAAGAAAATGAGGGTATTTATAGCTTTATAAAAAAATGATCCAAATTACTACTAATTATAGAAATACAAAATGAAGCAAGTCTGAGATTTCATATCATATCTGTCAAAGTTTCAAAGATGACAAAAAAGGAAAATGATAAATATTGGAGGAGCTGTTGGAAAGCAGGAATACTGACACATTGTAGGTGGACCTGTGAATGCGTATGACTGTTCTGTAAAGATATCTGGAATTATGAATAGATACTAAGCAGCACAAGCCCTTTGACCCAGCTATACTACTAATAGGTTTCTATCCAAAAGATAACAAAGAAAGAGGAAAAGGTCTTTAATGTACAGAAATATTTATAGCAGGTCTTTCTGCGATGGTAAAAAAATGGAAATTAGGAAGATATCCATCAAATGAGAAATGAATGAATAAATTGTATTACATAAGTGTTATAAAGTACTATTGTGCTGTTAAAAATGAGGAAATGGATGATTTCAAAAAAACATAAAAAGACTTCTATAAACTAATGCAGAGTGATGTGAGCAGATCTAGAAAAATTTATGGTATAAAATCAATATTATAAAAAAGAAATAATTTTGAAGACTTTTATAAACTGAGGAAGAATGAAACCAACAGAACCAAGAGAACAATTTATACAATAACAACACTTTATATAAAAGCAAAAAATTTGAAAGTTCCAAGAATTATGATGAATACAGTGATCATTCATAATTCCAGAGGACCAATGATGAAACATCTTATTCATTACATAGAAGTGAACAATTTAGAATTTTGTGTGTGTGTATGTGTGCGTGTGTGCTTGTTGTATACAACCATTGATGGAATTTGTTATGTTTGACAATGATTATTTGCTGGAAGAATTTTTTTTCTTTTATTTTTTTCCCTCAAATAGGGAAGGAGGCATGAGAAAATAAAATTTCTGCTAAGTTTTTAAAATATAAATGTCATATACACTTTCAGATAATGTTGCTATATTATTAACTGTTTTTACAGGAGACTTTATGAAGTGGAAGTAATCTGTAGATGTTTTTAAGGTTAAAAAAAAGACCACATGAATAAAACGTTTAAGAAAAAGTGATTTCTTACTGGTTGGTGTGAGAGGACATGTGGATTTTTCATAGTCAAGTAGAAAGAGCACTGGATCTGGAGTCAGAGGACTCCAGTTCAAAAATCTACTTTATGTGATTCTGGATGTCATTTAACGTCTATGGCACTGAGTTTCTTCATCTGAGATGGTTGGGTAAGATGGCCTCTGAGGTCTCTTCCAGGCATAGATTTATAAGCCTCTGATTCTCAGCTGCATTTCTAATTCTTATAATATGGATAGTTAAGTCAGGTCAACGAGCATTTATTAAGTGCCCAACATACATGGAGCTAAACATGAAGGCCATTAGGTGGCTCAGTGGACAGAGCACTAAGAATGCAGTCAGGAAGTTTGCTGTTGTTTTTCAGTTGTTTCAGACTCTTCATGACCCCATTTCAGTTTTTATTGGAGTCCTCTTGTATAAAATGATTAATATGGAAATGTTTTACATGATTGCACACGTACAACCTATATCTGATTGCTTAGTGTCTCAGGGAAGGGTGAGGGGAGAAAGGGAGGGATAGAATTTGGAACTCAAAAACTTTTTAAAAAATGTTTTGGGGACACATAAAAATAAATTTTTAAAAAAAATTCAAGGAAGATCACTTCGATGGATTATGGAGGGTTGAACCGGAGTGAGCCCAAATTTGAGGCAGGAAGAACAACCTGTGGATTATTGTAATAGACTAGGCATGATGCTGCCACCACCCTCACCAGAGAAGTGGCAGGGTCAGAGAAGAGAAGAGGCTGCAGGGGCAGGAAACCCGAGGCCTTGGGCAAAAGGTGGCCTTTTGCGTCCTTGAGTGGAGCCTTTTGACGGAGTCCAAGTTTTACAGAACAAATCCTTTTATTAAGGGGATTCAGTCAGAGAGCCACATTTAAGGGCCTAGAGGGCCACATGTGGCCTTGAAGCCCCAGGTTTCCTACCCCTGGAATAGGGGACAAAATTAGCATAGATTTCTAAAACTCTTTAAATGCATAAATCATTAAGATATATGACTACATAAAGGATGTGTTTGTTTTTTATATGTAAAATAAATTCCTATTTCCTTGTATTTATCAAAGTGGGTGCATCGGGAGCCCTCAAATGGCACACCTAATATGTAAGTTTACTTCAAATACAAGGATGGTGTCTTTTTTGTCATAAATGTCCAAAAAAAAAAAAAGATGTAGGGCAATAGTGTTATTCCCTCACTCTACCTCAACTTTACTTTCATAATCTACTTATTCTTTGCAGAACTTTCCAAGAGGGCAGGGAGGGAGGGCAGAGAATTACAAGGGGGGGGGAGGAAATCTCCCCCCTGTTATTTTGTAGTAGAAGGCAGCCAAGTAAACCCTTCTCTTTGGCATGAAAAGATTAAATAATGCTGAAGAGTAAGTGACAATGCAAGCGATTCTTAGTCAAGATGAGGGTTCCCATACCTGTTGTGTGGTGCTGGTGACGATGCCCTGTTGTAGTCGGTAAGCCTGTTCCTGCAGATATTTTCTCGTCTCGTGATTCCGAAGCAAATAATTTTCTATCTGAAAGTGAAACAAAAGTAGCTGTCAGAAATATCTTCCTCCATGTGGCCCAAAACCAAGTCTCTGAAAGGTCTCTACTGAACTTGAGATACACTCTGCCCATACATTGACTCAACAAGAACAACAAAAAGGAGAAAAAAAAACCCATTACAATGATTTATGACTATTTAAATAAAAAATTTAATCTGAGAAGACATGAAGTCTCTTTTTTTTTTATTAGATTCAATATTTGACAAATAGAAGCCAATGTTTTAATTGCTTGCACGGTTTATATATCCCATTTAATGATTCTCATCTCTTCTCTCAATGTGCTGACAAACACATATGCACAGTTTCATACGTGTAACTAAAACAGGCTTTAGAAAAAAACTAATTAAAAAGATGAGGACTCTGTGGCACTGTATAACTCAAAGGTAGCACCATCAGTATCTGACAAGAGTTTTTCTAAGGGGACACTGCAAAACTGAAACAGTTATGTAATTAGAAGAATAATATAATCATAATTTTAACAGCGACATTTGTACAGAGCTTTTAAGCTTCTAGAGCACTTACACCCATCACATTTGAAACTCATAATAATCCTATGAAGTAGTTACTAACGTTATTATGATTACAGCATCTCACAGATGAGGCTGAAAGGGACCTACCTCTGGTCACATATGCTACTACGAGACAGAGATGGGATTTGGGCCTGGGGCTTACTGACTTCAAGTCTAGCACTCTAACCAGTAGATCACAGTGCCTCTTGATTCATGGATATTAAGATATATTCATAAAAACTGGGCAAACCTCAATAATAAATCTAGTTTTTCCTCATAACAGTAATATATTTTTCAGCTGAAATAATAGCTAATGAGGAAATGCATTTTTGTGAGAGATAAAGGATTTGAGTTGTGTAGATATTTGCATTTTTCTACATAGACAACCTCCTATGACATAAATGAGAAGAGACCTTTAATAAACCACATCAAGTAGATTAAATTAAATCATTCGAATACTAATCATGTGCCTCCAGTAGCCTAATCAAACAAAATTTTTCCAGTAGATAATTGAAACTGATTGATACTGATGAATGTTTTGGGAAGTTTTACCTGAGACAGGCAAGTTACACCATCTGGTTTTTAAATCATTTAACCATTTTTGTCTTTTAATTTACTGCTATTTCCTAATTTAGAACCTGTAATAATTGGGAAGCTTTAAGTGATTTTGTGATTTTCATTTTAGTTTTCCATATGCTAAAACGACTACTTAATATCAATTAGTTGCAATTAAAATGAAGATGATAATTAGCACAGCCCCTGGAAACCTGAAAGGAGGACAAAAAGTAGCTTGTCACTAAACAGACATGAAGAAATCATAAAATTCGAAGGTCTACAAAAGAAGGAAATTAAAAACCATTAAAGTGACACATTAATGCCATAGCATTATATTACATTATGGTTCTCTTAATGCTCCAATGATAAGTCCTATCTTCCCAAGGTCATATTACTAGTGATGGAAAATGTTTGCTCCAAAAAGATGCTCATACTAAAATATTTTAGCACAAGCAAAGTAGAAAATAGGCTCAGGTCCTTTCCTAAGCTTAGCTGTTCTTGCCTCATTTTGCTTCTAAGAATAACTAGGGTCCACTCATTCATTCAGAAGGCTGGGTTTATTGCTCTTACTGCTAAGATCTAATAACCTTCCCAAAGGCAGGTTGAGTTTGTCAGCTGGACTGAATCTCTTAGACTGCAGAGGCTGGAGCTGAACAGACATAGCAGGCAAGAAAAACTGTGTAAGACCAACTTCTGTTTATTTTCCATAGTGAGGGAAATGGCTTCCAAGCAAGCAGGAAAACTAGACACATGTGCCAGGGGCCCCCATAGCAAGGGACCTGCTGTAGTCCGGGCAAATCAAAATACGTATGCTAGCAGCTACACTGTAAACTGTCGGGGAATGGCTCCAGCGTGGGCAAATCTCAATACAGTGTGGCTAGGGACTACACTGTGAATTGTCCCCTTGACAATGAGGAGTAAGAGCAACAAGGAGACAAGTTTGATTCATAGCAGGGCTACGTGACCTGAACATAGGTAGGTGATTGTCCGAGGTCTGAGAACACCAGAAACACTTCTGAGATTTTCTGTGGTTGATCATCCAGAGGGTTAGCACAAAAGACTGTTGTTATGCCAAGGTCAGGACATAACTTGCTTGCTGGGTCTTAGCTCTGGAAAACAGGGTGTCTCCTCAGAGTATCCTGACAAATTTATGGTCCCTCCACAAATGGAGTGCTGTTTTGTATACTATGCAGGGCAGGGATTATTTAGAATGGGAAAATATAACGTTCCTCTTGGGTAGCTATATCAAGAAGGCTGTAGCTGGAGAGAAAGAAGGATAACTCTTTTCAGATGGCTCTGACATTGTGCACACAAACGCACCATCATCAAAAGGGTTAGTACTGAGAGAAATGATTATTAATAATTACTAAAAATAATTAAGATCCAGAGTTCTCCCCTTTTATCTAAAGTCCTCATTTCAAGGCTCAGCCTCTGAAGGACAGGACTCATGACAGCAGAAAGGATTAACATTCTACCCAATCTAGGTACTGCTACCCTCCCCCCAACCTTAGAAGAAATTTAAGCTAAGGTGAAACTCCAGCCCATTGTCTTCTGCACAGGCTTGGGTAGGAGATATAGATCCTTCATCTAGATTTCCAGGAGGTTGGGGGGTGATTTGGAAGTAAATGACACGATCAAAGTTACATCTCCCAGTCCCTCATTAGAATAAGTCCACCTCTCTTTATAATATTCATTTTCTTATTCTTTATTAACCAATCAGAATTGATGGCCATCCTCAGGAACACCCACTCTTCCAAGGGTATATAAAAACTGTAAGCCCAACACCAGCATTTGTCTGTGGCATTTGAGAATGTCACTGGCCCATTTTATTGGTAATATGTTAGCATTTTTAATAAATTGATTAATCACCCAGAAATGTCACAACACTGGAGACTGTCATGGCAAACTTCCACGTGAGGCCCTTAGATTACCTTATATAACATCAGTGACAGTACATCCAAATGCTCTAGCTTGTGAGAACAGGGAGCTTTGCTTGAGGTTCCTTATTAAAGGAAAATGCACAAGATCATACCCCGCATGCATCCTTGAGTACAGGGGGTGCTCTGGGATCCTTGTCTGTAGTTAGTGCTGGACCATACACCAACTGCTTCATATTTTTAAAATAAAGAGTATAAAGGGGCAAAAATGTAGGGTTTGAGGGAGTTCTTAAGTAATACACCAGGCATAGCAAGAATTCACAAGCTAGCTGCTCACTGACCCAATTTAAAACACATAAATTTCTGTTGTTGGTGTTTTAAAATTAGTAAATATGGGAAACAAGATCACATACTTATTGCTCCTATTAAACAATTAAATAATTTTTGTGAAAGAAATATTCATATTTCTCAAAATGGCTGAGGATATAACACCAAACTAAAGGCAAATTCTATGAGTATATAATTCCCCAATTCTCCCAGGATAAAATGATCGTTTCCTTCTCTGACCTTGGGTAATAATTGCTTGTAGATGGATGTGTAACTTTCTTTTGTACTTATCATGGAATAATTAGATATGGTTATTTTTCCTGGGGTTATATTCCCCCTACTAGGCTCCAAGATCCAAGAAGGCAGGAGCCAAAGTCTACATAATTTTGCTTCTACTATCATCAAGTACAGTACTAAGCAGAGTAGGTATTTAATAATTGTTAAAAAATGATTATTCAAGAAAATCATTCAAGAAATTCTGAAGGCTACAGGCTATGGAATACTTACTAATAAATAAAATAAATAATTAGTGCTTGTTTTCTATAATGTGTTTTCTAAAATAAATTTTAGCTCCTAATGGACAAACATGAATGAAATGATTCATCTACAGCTAACTGTGCATTCAACTTCACATTCACACACTCTTTCTAGGAAGCTGGAGACCCTAAAGGACTGAAGATTTTATCTCTAACTAATTATTGTTATCTTTGGTTACCATTACTTCATTGAAATTCAATGATACTCTAGGGTTTAATTCCTGATGATCATGGTAATCTTTCTTTGGCAATGTCTTGGTGATTGTAGTGACCAAGAAGAAATATAGATATAACATTCTCCTGACGTGAATACATTGCCACTGTGTCTTGAGTTCTCATTCCCAAACATATGATGCTGAGAAAGTCACTTACCTTTTCTATGCTTCATTTCTCCTCTGTGAAATAGTAATGATGCTACCTACATTGATCACCTCCAAAAACCACACCAAGAGAAGTATTTCGTAAACTCTAAAGTATGATATAAATGTGAGGTATTATTATAATTGCTTTCATTAATTCTTTTTCTAAGAATGAACCATTTATACAATACCTTCTGCAGTGCCTCCTCTGTTTTTTTCAGGGTTTGTCTTAAGAGCTTGGGAAGCATCATACATGGGAATGGGCATAAATCTCAAAGTATAATTCCTAAAAGTGAAAGGGCAAATATATTATCACAAAATAATTTTCTAGTATAATAATGAATCAATTGCTTTTAAATAATGATATTCATTAGAAAAGATAATAAGCAAAAGCACTGCTGGGTCAAAATTTACTTCAGGCACTTGGATCAAGAATAAATATTTTCTAACAGATACCATGTAATACCATTTTTGCATCTTACTAATAACTGCAAGTTGTTTACATGTCTTTACAACAATCAATATATTCTTTCCAAAGTTTGTGCTCCATATACCATATAAAAAGAATTTTCAGATTGGGAATGTAGTTGCAAATTTTGGGAGAGTCAAGGGAAGCCTAAATGATATTCCTATTTGACTTTCAGTCACTAGTCCTAAATGTAGTTCTGAATTTGTTGGGATTTACCATTGTGATGACTAGTCAAAAATCAAGTTTCAAACTAGTAAACATGAAATAACTAGGTGAGAAAGAAAGTGACCAGAAAGGCAGTGGCATAGCAGAAAGAATTCTAGATTAAGAGTCAGAAGACCTAAAACAGCTCTGCCATTGATAATTGATGTGACACTGGATTGGACAAGTCACTTAACCTCACAAGACCTCATTTGGAAAAAAAAAAAGTGGATAGAATTAGATAATTCTAAGGTTCCTCTTCCTAGCTCTAAAAATTCTATCACTCTAGTCAGCAAAAAAACGAAATTGCTTAAACAAAAAGTCCAAGACAAACTATCTTTTAAAGATCACTGTGAACTTGCATCCAGTATAGTTCATCACATTCTGTTTCCATGACTCCTTTCAGCATGGTTTCATGCTTGCCACTGGGTTCAGTAGTAGACAATTACCCCCAATCCAAGAGTTATAATGCTGATGACTTCTAGGCTGGCAAAAATGCATTTATTTTGTTTTTGATTGTTCACATGATACAGGTGGAGTAGGTTAGTTGTGGAGGCTATATTTTAATATGGTTAGAGGAGAGAAAAATGTAAAGATTTTTTAGGTAGAACTTCAAAGAAGGAGGCAAAATTCATTAACTTTTTGTTCAGAGACATGAAGAAGTAGGATAGTTTATCAATAGGCAGTCTGTCCACTTAGGCAAACCATTAAAAAGTAGATGATGTCACACTCCTCTCAAAAGATGTAGGAAGGCATTTTGACTAATTCAAACACTAGTTTTAGCTGACTTGCTATGAAAGACATCTCTTCAGTAAAAAGGATACTGGAGACGCAATCTAGTGTACTCATATGCAACTATCTTGATTGCTTGGGTCAACAAGCTTTGGGGCAAGAAATGTGGTTCTTGTACTTTCTTCTCCCAAAACTATCTGCCATGTGGTCTCTTACTAGACAGGATATCTTTCCACAACTCTCACCCAAGGAACAATATCGTATTTTATATATTTATTTGCTACTGTAAAAATTCCCTATTCATTAGTACCTTTTACCAGCTAAGTACATTCTACAAAAGACTTCAGAGAGAAAATGGATCCCAGTGGATCCTCTTTATCACACATGAACAAGTTCTATTAGAAAAATACACTAACTACTAATTCCTAAACATAGATATTAATTGGGAAACCATATTAGATAATTTAATACTATTATGTCATTATATGATATAACAGGTATTAAGATAAGGAGCATTGTAGAAAAAAATGCTGCTATAGTCTTAATGTTGGTATGGTTTAATTAAAAAAATAGGTAGAGAAAGAAAAAGCTAATCAATTTGATTTACGAAGTTTTCAATTTTGTTTTGTTTCAGCAAAATGCCTTTGTTTAGCTTAATCAACCAACCATAACTAGGAAACAATGTGTCTATTTTACAATCTTTGTGACTTTCTTCTCCCACACCCAATTTTTTACATACCAGCATAGTGGGTTTAAAACAAATGACATCAGGAAATGTTAGCATCTAAACGCTGACAGATTATACAAAGCTGGAAATATTTTTGAAACAGGCCTGGCAATAGATTGTGTCTGTCACCCAAGGACTAGCTTGGCTACATTTGGATAGGTCCATCACCAGAAGGTTGGCCATTAACTGTTTTGTTTTGTTTTGCTTTGTTTTTGTTTTTCAACCACGGCAATCCATGAATACTGTCTACTAAGACATGGAGGAGTTTTTAATCTCTTATGAAAGGAGGGTGTACGCACACCAATAAAAGGTTAAAATGTATTTTTATACCGTGATGCTAGAGTGCCCTGTAACATTAAACTGACTCAAGGGTTTAGTGCATAAACATTAGGCTCTGTATGACCACAAAGTGCTTATCCTCTACAATGAAATCAAGATAATAGCTACATTTCAAGGATCTATAAAACAGTAATTTCAAAATGCAAAGTATTGGGATTTTACAATTTGTAATAAGGGTAGTTACAGGAATCCTTGGTTTTCCTCAAGACTCAGTTCTAGCTTCACCTTTTTCCATATGAAACCTTTCCTGATCATCAGCTGTTAGTATATTATTTCTCAAAACTATGCTGTACCCATTTTTTATAGATTATGCATATACATATGTATACTTACAGTGTAAGTATAGGTATATATGCATGTATGTATATTTGTATAGATATACATACATGAGTACACTTACACACAGAAATATATACCTATAAATGCACATCTCTACATGTGTGTGTATTTGTGTGCATATGTATATTTATGTACATATATACAAGTGAAAACACATCTATAAATATACATACATCTATACATTACATATGTATATGCATAATCTATAAAAATGAGTACAAGGTAGTTTTCAGAAGTAATATACTAGCAGCTAAGGGTTAGTAAAGGTTTCATATAGAAGAAGGTAGAGCTGAGTCTTAAAGGAAATCAGGAATTCCTATAATTACTCTTCTACATGTGTAACTGTACGTGTATGTATACACACAACATATATACATATACATGTGAATACATTTGGTTCAGTTCAGTTGATTTCCAATGATGTCCACCTCTTTGTGACTGCATTTTGAGGTTTTCTTAGCAAAGATACTGGAGTGCCATTTCCTTTTCCAGCTCATTTTACAGATGAGGAAACTGAGGTAAGCAGGGTTAAGTGACTTGCCCAGAGCCACACAGCTAGTAAGTGTCTCAGGCCAGATTTGAACTCAGGAAGATGAGCCTTTCTGACGACAGGCCCTGCACTCTATCCATTGCACCACCTAGCTGGCCCATATACACACATATACAAGCATATATGTGAGATATATATTCACATATACACACACTGTCTCTCCCATTTTAATATAAGCTCCTTGAGGGCAGAGACAATCTCATTCTTGTCTTTGCAAGCCTATTAGTAAGCATATAGTAGGTGCTTAACAAATGTTTGCTTAATTGTGTTGTGATTCTGTAGCCACTGAAGGCTCTCATGGGGTATAATGACTGAGGACGATACTGCACCCAGAGGAATGTAGAAGATGAACTAAAATGTTTGATTGTTGACTGGGCATGAAGTTCAGCATTGCTGAAACTACAATGCTATGTGTTCTTAAGTGCTTCAATGAATCCTTGATCTCACTGAGGTGGGGACCCCCTCCACTGACAGAGACAGCCACTTGTCCCTACCCTAACTCTTCTTCATTGTGTTCAGTTCTTGCCCATGTTCTCTCATAAATACTTTATAAAGGATTTATCCTATGTGCTGGAGGCTGGACTCTAAGACTTTAAAAATACATATATATCATGGATATCAACATAGCACTTAGCTCCCTGTTTTCTTGCATTCTTTTTTTTGGGGGGGGGTATGGAAGCAACTGGGGTTAAGTGACTTGTCTAAGGTCACAGAGCTCAGTGTCTGAGGCTATATCTGAACTCAGGTCCTCTTGACTCCAGGACCAGTGCTCTAACCATTTGATGATATCCCTTAACACTACTTTATCCCACCTTTTTGTGGATAGGCCAGCACTGGAAATATGCTGCAACTTACTCTTCAAAATGGGAGAAGCATTTTTTAAGAACCTACTACATGCCAGGGACTGTGCTAAGTACTTTATGAAAATTATCTCATTTGATCCTCACAACAGGTACTATTTACAGGTAGGTACTATTTCACAGTTGAGGAAACTTGAGACATATGGAGGTTAAGTGACTTATCCAGGGTCACAAAACTAGCAAATATCTGATGCTGGATTTGAACTCGGGTCTTCTTGACTACAATCCCAGTAGCAGATCCACTCTATCCATCGTAGCACCTAGCTCCCTCTCTACTAATCAGAAAGAAAAAATCACATTGATTACTCAAGGATAACATTTGAGAGAGTGGAAAAAGAATTAATTGAATTGAGACCTTTGTTCTAGAATGTTAAACCAAAACTGTATTTCAATATATTATAACATTTTTCTTGTTCAAGATTCCTACATGTTATCTCAGGTTGTCTCGGTGTAAAAATGTCCAATGGCCTAGGGAACTATAACAGTTCGGACATTTCTCTCTCTAGAGAAGAATTCCTTCAATTAAGAATAAAGTTAAACAAATTAAAAAATTGTTTCTGGTAGATTCATGCCTGCAAAGTAAAGTACAATATTCCTCTCTGAAAAGAGTAAGTAAATTAGTCCCAGGTCCAAGTCCATAATATCTAGATTTCATTTTGATTTGTTCTCCATCCATTTCAATATAAATTCCACATTAAGGTTTCCAAAATCAGCAGAATAGTTTTCCCAAAAAGAAACAGGTCAAGAATAACATTTTACACTATAATTGTGACTTGAAATGCCACATTATGTGTATGACCTTAGCATCTAGTATGATGATGAGTCGGAATCATAGAATGAGATTGGATTTTAGAGGTTAACTCCCAACCTGGAGCAAGAATATACTGTAATATACTTACACTTTTAAAATTTCATCCCAAAAAAGAAAAAGAGAGTACCCCAAATGAGGGCTCTAATAATAGTGTCTAATAGTATTACTGGGATATGTTACATGCATCTTATTGGGAAGATGAAAGAACTATGAAACTAAATTATTCTCCAATGCCTTTTCCATTCCAAATAATACCTTACATTTTCAATTACGCTGGTACTGTGCTAAGCATTTCACAAATATTATCTTTTTTGTTTCTTCCAACAACCTTGGGAGGTAGGTGCTATTATAATCCTCATTTTGCAGTTGAGGAAACTAAGGCAGACAGAGAGGTTAAATGACTTTCATAGGGTCTAACAGCTAGTAAGTTTCAGAGGTTGGATTTGAATCCAAATCTTCCTGATCCCAGTCTCAGTGCTCTAACCTACCACAGTGCCACTAGATGTCTTATCTTTACAAAATTTTTTCTAGTTTTCCTAGTGCTTTCATATACATGCTTTAATTTGGTGACTATATAAGTATTACAAGGTAGGTAGGGAAGGCAGTTTGGACTGGGGAAATTGATGTTTAGTGACTTATTCAAGGTCATACAGCTATTAAGTTCCTGAGATGAGACTCACACCCAGATCTTCTGATTCCCAAGCCAAATTCTCTCTCTTTATCATAAAGGAAAACACTGACTGCTATCAAGGAAAAGTAAGGGCACTTTGCTTGGTTATTCTTTTACCCCCCGTTGAAACTTTTCATTTTTCTAGAAAGGAACCCTATTAAAAACTTACTTCTCCATAGCAACAGCTATATCCTGGAAACCTTGTGCAGTGATATTGTTCTTGTCCCAGATGACAGTCCTGTTTGAAAAACCAAATCATGAAAACGGTCATAAGCACTTGAGGGAGAGAAGAGTTTTCCATTAAACCCAAATGCCCTCTAGAATAAAGTCCTTGGACAGCGACATCATGAGACATAAGACTGATACATCCGAACAGGAAAAGGTGAGAAAGAATGTTGGCTTTTCTTCTATATTACTTCAGTATTATATCCACCAGGTGAAGATATATAGAAGCAGAAAAGAAAACGAGAGATAATGTGACATAAAAGCACGAACATGCTCATTAATAAAAACAGTAACAGTGAAAAAAAAGTATTATTTTGATTTCTGCAGACAAGAAAACTCTAGATACTTAAATTTCTAATATCCCCAAAATATAGATCTTCAATCTTGTGCCTTGTGACTAATGTGAAAGGTATCCAGAAAACAAGTGAAAACAAAAACAAACAAACAAACTAAATAAACCTAAGAGACAACATAAAAGTTTAGGAGTTGAGACTCCATTTGTTCAAGGGAACTAACATATAACTTTATTTTGTATACTGTACATGTTGCCCAAATGACTCATTATATTTGGATGAATAATCCCAAGGCATGGAAACTATTTTTTTCTGTTGGTCAAAATAACTAATTTACTAATATTTATTTTTAAAAACTCAGTGTCAAGGCTCTTCCAAGTTTTTGGATTTTTGAAAACCACTTAGCCACGTATCCTGACTTGGTACCCTGCCCTGCTGACCAGCTATGTTTTCATATGGAGATGAGAGGGATCATGAGACCTGTATCCTCATTCATTTCTTTGTTGTGTTAGGGAGAAGTAAACTTCCCTTTGTTCAACGACTGAGAAGTACTTCCATTTTGTCTGAGGAGTACTTCCATTTTGTTGCAACATGGAGCCTGAACAGAGAGTATTGGCATTAAGCTCCCCTCTAACAGCAAGTAGGATTTTGTCAAATGGCCAATGGAACTCGACCATCATCTGAACAGAGCAACCAGTCTCCCAGTGGGTAAGCATAGAGACAAGATGCTGAGTTGAGTCGTCCTACCATTCCCTCTAGAGAATTAAACAGCTGAGGGCACAACTTGGTTTTTCTTTCATACCTGAGCTTAGTGTTGATCTGTAGGGCTTTTGCCAACATCTTTGCTCCCATGTCCCCCATTCCATTCCCACTGATGTCCACTTTGGTTAGAGAGGTATTACTGCCCAGAGCATTGATGATGATGGTTACTTCGGTTTTGAGTTTGGAGTCTGCAAGGGATAAGGACTGCAAAGGCTATAGATTGAACAAAGACAAGCCACAGCAACGCCATCAGGTTTGTAATCACCTTCAGTAAGCCATATCAAATTAATGTATGAGAGAACTGATTAAATTTTGAAATGAATCTTCTTCAGTCCTGTTAAGAAAATGGTAGCAATAAATGAATTTCAATTCTGGATTTGGAATCACTCTTGGTAAGCCTTGTTGTTTAATTCCTAGTTTTTGCTTTGTTTTGTTTGTTTGGCTAGGCAATGGGGTTAAGTGACTTGCCAGGGGTCACACAGCTAGTAAGTGTTATGTGTCTGAGGCCAGATTTGAACTCAGGTTCTCCTGAATCCAGGGACGAGGCCCACTGTGCCACCTGCCTGCCCCAAACCAAAATATTTTGGATGAACATGCATTATAAAAAAAAACTTGGGTAAAATAAATTGAATAAAAGACATCATTTAAAATGTTTGACAGGAAAGAGAAAGCATAAACTGTTAATACAACTAAAAACATTCACCTTTACTAAAAATTAAAGAGAGATGCAAATGAAGACAACTTTGAGATACCACCTCATTACCTGTCAACTTGGAAAAAATAATTAAGAACTATGAATCTTAGTGCTAACAGGGCCATAAAAGAACAAGTCCAGTCATTCATTGCCAATGGAATTGCAAACTTGTACAATTTTTTTCTGGCAGTAAACAGTAAAAGTTATAGAAATAAATATGGCCTTTGTCCCAACAATTCCATTGTTGGAAAGATACCCCGAAAATGTTAGCAAAAGCAACATAAAAAGAGCTCCCTCTTCAAAGATTTCCTAATAAAAATAAAATGCAATCACATAAAAATGGAAATAACCTAAATGTCCAATAATAAAGGAAGGGATAAAGAAATTACAATATGTTAACGTAATGTAGTTCAATATAACCAAAACAACATAAGAGTAAAAAAGCAAATGTGAATAAAAGAACAAACAAAATCCTAATAAGGAATGAGACAGAATGACTAAAAAAATCGTTAGACTTTATTCATTGAACTTAAGTAATTAAAATGTAAATAGTTACAAATCAAACTTACTTAGTTATAATAGTATTCCATGTTGTTTATAACGAAACACTAAAGAAAAAGATAAATCTGATGGGAAACAAATGGGGATCAGTCTTATATTGGGAATCAGACAGACAAGATAGGCAAGTTTAGTGTTCTATTATTTCCCTCAAAATACTTAAAGAAAAAAGGTATCTCCAGCATAGTTAGTAGAGTCTACATGGGGAGATATAAAATGAAACACAGGCAAAAGTTATATAGGATAGAAAAGAATACACCCCTCCCCAATATAGTCGGGATCAAAATATAACAAGGCAGCTTTATCTCTTCTAACTTAACAATAACAAATAGTCATAATAATAGCTAGCAGTTATATAAAGCTTTAAAGTTTGTGAAGAGCACGTTACAAATACTATCTAATTTAAATCTCACAACAGCCCTGTAAGAGTTGCTATTATTATCCCTATGTAACAAATGAGGAAACTGAGGCTGAGGAATATTGCCCAACGGCATAGAGCTAATAAGTTTCTGAGGTAAGATGTGATGTGGGGTCTTCCTGATCTCAAGTCCAACATTGTACCACTCCCCAGCTGCTGGTCTATAGGCCAGTGGGATTAGAGAATGTTAAGACAATAAGGTGCCAGTCCCCAGTAGATGTAAGGAAAGAATCTCTGGAGTACCAACAATGGACAATCGTATTTTTAAAAAAAAAAAACTTGTGGCAAAATTTTCTAATGGCCACCAAAGCTATGCTTCTTTCTTAGTCTCTGTCTTTGTTCTTATATGAGATGAAACCTACAGAGAGCAAACAAAACAAACCAAAATAGACCTGAATAAATCCTAAATCTCTGAATCTTTTTATCTATTATTAATTATGAAGCACACTTGTAGGTATACATAATTCCTGCAATAAAAACAGAAAAATGGATGAAAACAGTAATTTGGGTTGAATTGGAAAATTACTTTGGAAATGTACAGAAAATTAGTCTTGAAATAAATTCAATTATTGTCCAGTTAAGAAACAGTCAACAAATATTCTTTGAAGTCACTGGCTATATAGTTAACAAGTGCTTAAGAACCAAAAGAGTTTGTTGCTCTTGGAAAAAAGTCTCAATATGGAGACACTTTACAATAAAAACTAATGACCCATTTCACATGAATCTCATCCCTGAAGTCTTTCCACAGACCAGAAAGAGGAGCCCAACTTTCTTCACTTTTAAGTACTCGTCAATAAATCAAGATAGGTAGCAAAGCAAAATGGACACAATTTTGGTCTTGAAATTAGGAAGACTGAGGTTCAAATCTTGGCTTAGTAGAAATACTCACTAGCTGTATGAGCCTGTACAAGTTATTTAAGGTGTTTGAAACTGGGACTATAACTGTAAAATGGAAATACTTAGCAAAACCTACCACACAGCAAATGTTTTGAAGATCAACTGAGAATGTACGTACAACACTTCACAAACCTTAAAATACCGTAGTCACATTACTGCTATAATTGACAGCTTGGCCCCAAAATAGAACTCGTTGTTTAGCATGTAACATAACCATCGTCCAGACAGACTTTAGATGTCCAGGCTTCGAATGAATAATAATAGCTAGCATCTATACATAGCACATTTAGGTTTACAAAGCTCTTTACAAATATTGTTGGATTTGATGCTGGGAGGTAGATGCTATTACTATCCCAATTTTGCAGAAGAGGATATTGAGGCAGACAGAGATTAAGTGACTTGCCTAGAGTCACACAGCTTAATACATGTTTGAGGCTGAATTTGAACTCAGGTCTCCCTGACTCTAGGCCAAGCATTCTGTCCACTACACTAGTTAGTGCTAGGGTTACAATGAAGCAGTTAGGCACTCTCATACCTAAGTACTAAGTATTGTAATTTTTTCTTTCTTTTGTTTTCTTCAGTCATTTTCAGTCATCTCTGATTCTTCATGACCCCATTTGTGGTTTTGTGGCAATGATAACTGGAGTGGTTTGCTACTTTCTTCTCCAGCTTATTTTACAGATGAGGAAACTGAGGGAAATGAGGTTAAGTGACTTGCTGAGGGTTACCCTATTAGGAAGTGTCCGAGGCCAGATTTGAACTCACAAAGATATACCTTCCTGACTCTCGGCCCAGTGCTCGATCCACGTGCCACCTAGATGCCAAAAGTACTCTGATACCTAACTACTAAAAGAAATCTAGAACCAGGTTCCATTCTGAGAGTCAATTTGGAACCTTCCTAGGAGTTTGCACATCTCCACATCCTACTTGAGAGATAAGATAGCCTAAGAGTTTATTTTAGCTTAAGTGCTGCAGATTCCTCCAAATCAGGGGGAGCCTGGGGTCAACCCAAGACAAAATCTAACTCCTAAACATATGGAGATTGTTTGAGAGAGGAAGCACACTTTTCTTATGAAAGAAGCCAATTGTGAAAATAGAACATGTTGGCAAAAGTCCTAAAGATCACCATCCATCTGCCAAAGACTTGTTTCTGAGAAACCCTGCACGAAGTAGGTAGATATGTATGTATACATTTGGGAGCTCGCCTCTCACTAAGTAGCAGTATATTTTATAGGATGGGTGTCAGGTAACAGTGAATTCTCTGAATTTTATAATAATTTTCTATATCAATCTTTTATGTGGATACAAAGAGTAATAATAGTTTTACATAATTAAGAAAAATTTTGAAATAGAAAAATTTCAATAGGATTCTCATCCTTGAAACAATCAATTCCATATAAGATATATCAGCTATCACATATATATGCTTAAAACAATTATGAGTTTAGTGGGGCTGACTGCTTCAAAATTTCATTCAAAAGCTGCACTCAAATAAAGGAGAAAAAATATTAACTCTAAAATATTTTGATCTGAAGGAAATAATTTAATATTTAAATGAAAACAAATGCACTACTATTTTTTTGATAGAAGGCAACAATCACATCTCTTATTATCCCAATAATCTCATTTCAATGAAGCCCCTCTCCCCACCAAAAAGGGGAAACATTATAATTTTCTTTGAATACTAGAAAACTACCAATACTACAGTCAGTCTAGTGATAATTCTCATTCTGTATTCAGAATCAAATACACATTAGTTAACACTTAAAATACTAGACAAGGCCATTAATTCAAACAAAAATGTCCGAATTACATACATATTTATAAGGGTCATCTTTAAAAAACAATAGAAGCTTACCACAAAATTCTGCTATTCCAAATTAGCAGACACCATTTAAAAATTCAGGATTTAAATCACTCTATAAGTGTTTCTAAGTAAGGCACACTCAGGTCCACTGGGAACAATATAATTTTGAAAAACTAAGTTCCTCACGACAAAAGTACTGTTTTTATATCTTTGTTTTTCACCTTTTGCTTCTTAATTCTATCCCTTTGGTTCTATACTTGGGAGTATGACAACCGTAGGTAGAGAAAAATATGGGCTAAGGACACCAATTCAATTCAATCAAATTTTCAACTAAAACTAACATTATGATACTGGGGAAATAAAATGTTTCATGGACTAACAAAGAAATCCTCGCTTAAAAACAACATTCCCATGTAAAATGTAAATTAAGTGCTCATGTATATTTAAAACTACTTAAAAACAACAACTTCATCAAATGAATCTAGATTTTCTTGCTGGTTGTATTTTTGTAGTAATAAGATGCACGTACTGATCGTTTTAGCATTCTTACTCATTACTGATTCAGTAGCAGGAAAAAAAAGCAATATGCTAATTGCTTTTTACAAGTCACCCACTTTTCAATGACATGAAAGTAAAAAAAAATCTTTTAATTATAGGGTGCTATTAGTAACAAGGCTGTGTGCATTAACATGACACAGTTCTCTTTTAAATACCATACCTGCATTCTCCTCAAGAATGCTTTCAAAGAATTTCTAAAACTATCAGGATTTCAGCTAGCTGTAAAGGGAACCTTTAGAATTAGAGAAACAGATTTTTAAGGTTTCTAATGGAATAAAAATTAAATAAAACTGAAGACTATATTACCTATTCTTTTTGTAAAATGTTAAATGTATAGTTTAACAAATATTTTAGCATAGATATTAAATATTGCCTCACAGATTTAGCTTCCCAAACCATAAAAAGCTGTGGCAGTTCAAATAACCTAGGATCCCAAAGTCACTAAATATTAGTCAAGACAAAAGTAAAGGTAATTACTGTTAGGCTAAATCACACGTATAAAATTAAAGGGCAAGAAGCTAGAACATACAACTTAGATGTCAAGACAACCTCTAGCTTCAATAACAGGGCATATTATTAGGAACAAGGTAGATATTTTACAAGCATTAGGATAAACTAAGGTACTTTTTAATTCATTAAATAATAAATGAAGCCCATTCCCTAACCTGCAGTTTGAAAATTAGATTAGCATAAGACCACCATAAAGGAAGTTGTATTCAGAAACTTGGAGGGATAAACCCTGTCTGATTTCTAGTAGGAAGCCTCCCACACTTATTCAAGCTCAAAGCCATACAATAGGCTGATGGATGTTGTACTGGATGTACAGAGAAAGCCAGGAAGTATTCTAATCCCCAGTATTCTGTAGGTCCCTTCTGCTTCCCACTAGTTTCCTTAGCAATTTTGAGAGGTACTTAAGAAATCTTCTGAATAAGCAAGTCACTTAACCCCAATTGGCTAATAAAAAAAAAAGGATGGAAAGATAGATAAATAAATAGATGCTTTCGGGGAGTTAGGTGGCAAAGTGGATAGAGCTCCAGCCTTGGAGTCAAGAGGATCTGAGTTCAAATGTGGCCACAGACACATGATAATCACTAGCTATGTGATCCTGGGCAATTCACTTAGTTCTGATTGCCTCAAAAACAAAACAAAAAAAAAAAAAAAACAGAGACAGACTATTATAGGAAATCATAGACATGGACTTTCGAACTTGCTATAAAAATGGGAGAAAAAAAAAGTTATCAATGAACAGTTGGGAACCCCCAAAACCCAATCCACTCGATGCCCACACACATGCGCACAGAGTGTAGTGGGAGTTTTTTTTAAATAGATAATTATATATAACATTATATTCAGCATCCAAATGAGGACTATGGTAAGGAAGCGACCAAATTCAAAAGGACCCAAACATAGGTAAGGGATCAAAAGCTCGGAACAAAATTAAAAGGATTAAAAGGGGAACTTTCCTAATGCCTCTCCCTTTCTTTTCTGGTGTTCATGAAATAAAAGTATCGTGTCAAGATATTTTAAATTTCATCATTTTCTCCAGAGGGAGTCTCAGTCAAGGGCAACTAAAAGAGGATGAGTAGGTAGGATATACAGATTGTAATGATAAACTCTTAGGAAAATGTGGCTGGCTTTTTATGCTTCTTGCAATTCTGCAAAACCAAGTGAAATTCAAATGAGTAATTTGATGTTTCCCAGTAAGAGCTGAGGCCACAAGGCACAAAAAATGAGTCTAGGGTTGTCACTTGACCTTAGAGAAATAAGGATAATGCAGAGAGGGGGCTAAGAGTCAAAATTCATTGGCTTCTTGATGTGTAAAGATAACCTTGCGGTAATGAAAAATGACTTAAGTGTACATACAAATGAGGAAGCAAATCCTTAGTGTATTTAATCTTACTAACATTAAAACCTTTAACAATCTGTAAGTGTGTGTCACATTTTCTAAAGTATACATTTAGGGCAGATTTACCTATATGGTCAGATGTATTTGAAAACACATAGGGATTAATTCACTGAAAAAAATCTGCAAGGAGAATAAAGCCACAGATATTAATATAAAGGTTTTAAAAACAATACTCACTGATTCTTCATCTTGAATCATCTGTACTAAGTTATCCAAAACAGGTGTAAGATTTCTAAAGGATTTTAAAAATGGAGACAATTGAATCACATCAACAGCTTTATTGAGGTTGGTTGCTTTAATTAAGTCATTTTGAAAAAAAGGAAAATACTCTTACTTGGATTTCATATTATTGAAATTTTTGCCCAGTGCCAAGTGTTGTATTGATCTGTTCTTACTAAGCCATACTATCAGTGTAGAGAGGTCAGATTCCAATCCTATGAGGAAACAGGATAAATAGAGAATCAAAATACAGATGGAACAGAAGGAAGGTTACTTTCAGATGGGCAAATCTGCACACTAATATGATAGCTCTGTGGATTCTTAACCATTCATTCTCAAAGTTCTTTTTACTCTCCTTTCACTTCCTATTACTTCACAGGGATAACCTCATTCTCTAACAATGACCCATCCAAATCTCTCTCCTCATCACTGGCTATTTATATACTTAGTCAGCAGCAAATGGGGAGGGGGCTGAGAGGACAGCAGCAGCTTAATCCCTTATTCTCACTAGGATAACTAGCCTACTCATTGTTAGTGTAGGGAGATTTTCTTTTTTTGCAAAAAGTCGATACTAATGTATCATAATGTAAGTAAGTTCCTAAATAAAGTAATGGGGTACACAATTTCTGTTGTGTGAAGTGTAAACATGACAGTTCCAAATTCTCAGGATGAAAGGAAGTGACACATTCACTTTATCTCATTCCCATCATGTGGATTTGGCCATATTTTTATTTCTGCGAGAGCTAAGCACTGTTCTGATTTCTCAAATATACTTTCTTGCTAAATTGAAAAAAAAAATTTGCTAATTCAGGATGGCCAATGACATTCCTACCTGGTGAGTTTCCTCATTCTGACTATATGATTTTCTTTCTCTAATCCAATAAAAATTTTATGTTTCCTTTTTTTTTTTCCCTTTTCTTCCATCTCCCAATGCCCTTTTGTCCTGTACTTACCATTGTCTGAAATGTCTAGGCTGGTGATGTTGTGGATTTCAGCAATGCAGCCTTCTAACACCTGGGCACCTCCTGATCTCAGCTAGAAGACACACATATCAAACACACACACAAACACAGACCTGTCAGGAAAGTCTGTAGCTGCTTGGATGTATATGAAAAAGACGGAAATAGAAGCAAGGGTCTTAAAAATAAATGTTTCAACAAAATAAAAATGTACAGCACACCTTACTAGAAATAGCACTAAGCAAGGAAGAAGTATGAGTTTAGTCCTTATCACCCTGAAGAAATTCCCCTTCTTTCCCACTTCATCAGACCTTAGCATCCCAAACCAGCAGAAAAAGTATCAGGAAAGCAAATTTTTTCCCATTTCCACAACTAACAAAATCAGTGGCTGCCAATTCATGACAGCTTTCATTTTGACGTTAAGGCATGTTAAAGTTTATACTTAAAAGCTGCTCATTTAAATCACATCAAAGAAACCAAATTAGGAAAAACAACAATTATTCAATTGGCCTTTGGAGATGACCCATACCTAAACCCATCTTAAGATGTGTATAATCACTGTGAAGTAGAGGTGTTCAGCTATTTTAGGTTGAAATAATACATCTAAGCTCTGTGAACTATACAGAAGAAAAATTAAGATAGTTTATTTAGTAAAATCACAAGAAGGTTCTTTTTCTACTATGGAATTCCTTTTCAGAAGAGAAACACCACCCAAATCTTTTTTTTCACCAAGAAATATGAATACTTTCAAGTTTTTTTTTGTTTTATTTTTTGACTGTTTTCTTTTGCAAAGTGGCTAATAAGGAAATATGTTTTGCATGACTTCACATATATAACTGCTATCAAATTGTTTGCCTTCTCAAGGAGAGGAGAGCAGCTGTAAAGAGAGAGTTTGGAACTCAAAATTTTAAAAAATGAATGTTAAAAATATTTTTACATGTCATTGGGAAATATTTAATGAAATATTTTAAAAATGAATAAAAATCTGGCAAAACGCAGGTATCTGAGGTTTTTCCATTTTGTTTTTGCATAGTAACAATTAATAAATTCAGTGGGGTCAGAATGCCTTTCTATTTTATTTATTCAATTTTTTTTAAACAAAGGGGAGAAGCATAATGTATAGAATACTGAATATATACATACATATATATATATATCTATATCACATGAACATGTAATACAGAGGCTGTATGTACTGAAAAAGAATTTTTTTTAAACACACAATAAGTAAAAAGCATTACAAATAAAATGAATTTTATTTCCACAGGCTGGAACAGCATATAAATCCGGAAAGACAAACATTAGTGACTACAGCCTGAATTAATTGAAAAAAAATTATCTTCAGATTTCTTCTTGGCTGGCAAGCACAATTTAAGACACAAAATGTTTTTAAAAAGACCTGATTTGTATCCATGTTAACGCCAAGTACCATCTATGTATTGGTAGTTATAGAGTAGGAACCATGAGTGACTTTTAAGGGCTCTGTCTATTAAACCACGATCTTTGACAGAAAATGTTTTATATGTGTGTGTGCATGCGTGTAAGCATGTATCTCGACAGGAAACATATTACAAATAATATGTATATTAAATATTGTGATATTTGCTAATTTAAAAAGAATCCAATAAATTGAAAGCCCAAGTATGTGCCATGCACACAGAACTGCATTTACTGAGTTAGCTATTAAAAAGTTTATATAAGAGTAGTCAAGGTACTTACGCAGTGGCCAAGCTGAAGAAAGCACAGGGAAAAAAGGTGAAATATATCATCAGCAACAAATAAATAGCATAAAACAGAGGGAAAGCAGCAGTTTCTGTCAATAGGCAATCAGTCAATGAGCATTTATTAAGCACCTACTAGACACCAAACACTGGATTAAACCCTGGGAATGGAAATACAGTCCCTGCCCTCAGGGAGCTCACAGTTAAATGGGAGAGACAATATGAATAAAGAAACATTGTTAAATGACAAATAAAATTCTTAAGGTAGAATTAGGCTTCAGGAAAAAAAGGGAAATTAACTTAAACAGGAAAATAGCAAATTTTTAAAAAAATTCACCTAGAACAATAGATGAAATAAATCAGTAAATGACAAAAAGATAAAGTTTCCAACACGATGTAAATGAAAGTTGTTTTTAAATTATTTATATGAGTGGAAGGGGTGTGTGTGTGTGTGTGTGTGTGTGTGTGTGTGTGTGTGTGTGGGTGTGTGAGAGAGAGAAACTGGTTTTAAACAATCGTCATTTGGATTCTACACTCTAGAACTTTTTAAGGGAGAACTCTATGTAACTGAATACATTTTGAAATGTTAAAAATAAAATCACTTTTCCTTCAAGAGAGCTATATTACTTTAAAAAGCTCTGTCATTTCACATGTTGCTTCCACTACTAAGTGAAAAGCTACTTCTGATAGTCCATTAACCATGATGATGGGATGATTTCAACCCAAAGGTGAGCATAAATCCTCATTTGCTGTCTTCCAAAGATCATCTGTTTTAAAACTGATGTTGGCAAGTCCACTTAAATTAACTTGAAAAATCATTCTCCCTTCATTTTTTTCACCCTCCTCCCTCCACCTTCCTCCAATAATAAGAGCTATGTAGGAATAAAACTGTAATTATTCTTCTGGGAATCTGAGAGGAGAAAATCAATCATAGGACATATAAAGACTAAAAGTTGGAAAAAGAGATAAAATTACCCCCAGAAAGTGAAAGTGTTTCCTTTTTTCATTTGGAAAACAAGATTCAGTAAAGGCATTGTTTGGGAAAGGGCAGAACTTAGTTGGATAAAACCCAACAAAAGGTGTTGGTTCAGTGGCTACTCGGGGTTCTGCCAATGGTAAGTAGTTCAAATGCTTGAGAAATACGAACTCAGAATTCTTTTCAAAATGCTGAAAACTAGAGGAACACATCATAAGCCTTGCCGGCCCATCCTGCTCTTGTGAAACATTTTCAGCTTTGCATTCTACCGTTCCAGTCGACAGGAATGTTGTGTGTGGGAATGTACAACAGGTCACGGATCATAAATGCATACAACACACATTGTGTACTCTGGAAGGCTAGCTGAAAGCCTATCAGCTTGAATAGTAATGCTTCAAAGTTCCCACCCACTCATTTCCACTTAGAATTTTTACAGCTGATGTGCATACTTTGAAATGGTCACCAAAATATCTTGCAATGCACCATAGGATGAGATGTGAAGGTGGGCAGTTTCCAGTGAAAATATTACTCTACAATGAGGCTCATACCCAGAAGTAGTTGAATTTGCTACTATACTGCACTCAGGCTTCTCTTAACAATGCCCCGTCCCCTTGGCTGCTAGGTAGTGCCGGGCATCTTAATGGTTGCTAGGAGAGAATGCTGGATATGGAGTCAGGAAGATCTCAGTTCAAATCCAGCCTCAGCTACTTATTATAGCTGTATGACCCTGGGCAAGTCATTTAACCTCAGAGAGACTCCATTTCCTCAACTGTAAAATGAGGATAATAATAGCACCTACCTCCCAGGGATGTAGTGAGGATCAAATGAGATAATATTTGTAAAGCACTTAGCACAGTGCCTGGCACATAGTAGGAAGTTAGTAAAGGCTTGTTTCCTTCCTTCCTTCCTTCCTGTTTATCTAAGAGGGAATTAAGATCACAGGAATCAGAGTTTAAGCTTTGAATTTCTACTCTCCTCCATATATGGTATGGCTATAAAGTAATTTTAAAAACTACCCAAAGTGGATACAATCAAAAGAATGTTCTCTCCTTCAAAGTAGTCATGCTGAGAAGCCATATGCTAACTTTGATGATGATATCATTGCTCAAAACATTTTTGGATTTTCTCTTTGGGAAATGTCTTCCCAGTCACAGTAGTAATTCAATTTAACTCATCAAAATATGTTAGAAGCCTCCCTACTATGGACAGAGCTCATTGTAGGCTGGAAAAGACTGAATTCTTCAAGGCTTTGGTAGCATTGAATAAGTATCCAGTTGCCAATGAAGTAGGATAGACTTTGAATATAAATGAACTCAGTAATGGACTGGGTACTTGTCCAGGAATCAATCTAGTAAAGTTCTGAGAGGGCTCACCACCAGGTTAGAAACTAAATAATGAATGTTTTTGGCCACAGAAACTCTTGAACACTATCTACTATGCAGCCATGTGGTGCAATGGATAGAATGCTGGAGTTGGGGTCTAGAAGAACTAAGTTCAAATCCTTGCTCAGACACTATGAGACTGAACAACTCACAGCCTCATTTATCTCATAAAATGTGGATAATAATAGCACCTACGTAACAGGGCTATTGTGAGGATCAAATGAGAAAACACATACGAAATGTCTGTAAATCTTAAGAGCTATATAAAGTTGTAGAGGAAGCTTCAATGTGTTATGGGATGCCTGCTTAGAACAATGAAATTACAAATCCTTGAATTACTGGTGAAATGACTTACAAACAATGTAAAGGGTTCATATGCAGAGGCCATAAAAAGGTTGGTCAATTATAACTATCAATATTAGTGCCATATAGTCAAAATTAAAGAATCTATTCAGCTCTTTCTGTTAAAAATCGTTGGTTTTAAATCATGTTTTAAAAGAATGATTATAAAATTTAAAAGAATGCAATTTGCAAAGAGGTTTAAGTATCCATTAAGAAGTGTCTATGGCAGTGAAACAAAATGTGTTTTTAAAACAAATAACATACAAATAGCTGTTTTAGGTGTGTGGGCAGAGACACTAAGATTAAGGAGCCATTGTCCACATCATCATGGAGTTTGTGATCTGTTTGCATGACACAAACACAAATTCCTATAATATAAAATAAATGGGAAAAAAAAAAATATGTATGCAAAGTACAAAGTGCCACGACATAACCTAGGAGAAAATCCATTACTGACAAGCAGAACTGCCAAAGTCTCAAAAAAGAATTAAAAAAAAAGAAAGAAAGAAAGAAAGAAAGAAAAGAACAGAAAAAAGGAAAAACCTTCACTTAGTCTTATTTCCCTGTTAGCTATCATATTATTACCTATTCTTCTTTTCACAGACAAACTCTGAGAAAAAGCTGATTGCCTTTTCCCTAACATTTTCTGTTCTCA